CCATTTACAGATGAAGACACTGAGGCTCAGAGTGGCCTCTTCAAGGTCATATCCTTGGTAGGGTGTCGGCTAAGTCCAAGCCCTGCTCATTCAATTTATTTTTTTTTTTAATTTACTTTTACCTTTATTTTTAAAATAAATATCTCAGAGTAAGCCCTGCTCATTCTAAGAGCTAAGGCAAGCAGGTGGAGGGAGACAGAAGAGGTCCTGGGTCCCAGACTGGGAATCCCCATTCTGAGGTGCAAGGGCCACTATGCCTCGCTGGCTACCCCACGTTCCAACCCCAGACCCTCTGCAGAGCCCACCTCTTCTGTATAAGACCGGGCAGGTAGGGCCTGCAGATGCCCAGTTTGGTGTCATGGTGCTGGCACCGACTCAAGCCCTTGTCACCCAGTTCCTCCTTGGTGCCAAGTGGCTGGAGCACTTCTAGAACCATCTGCAGGGTTTGAGATCCGAAGCTGATGGCCTGGTAAGACTTCAGGTTTTCTTGGACCCTGCCCACTGGAGTTGGGCCATCTGTGGGGAGTTCAAAGCACGGTCAGCGTGGGGGCTGGGTTTGGGTGGGTTTCATTGTCAACCTTAGGAAAGGGTTAGCCCAAAGGCCACGGGCATCTTGGGGACAGCTGTCGTATGCAGAAGAAACAGAACAAGAGCTCAGCAGCAGGAGAGGGATGCCATGCTATTTCCATTAAGGGATTTATTTCTTTTTAGAAAACAACAACAGTGGTTCGATCTGGATCCCGCAACACTGACATGGTGGACGGAACGCACAGAGTTAGAGCAGCGGGAGAATGGAGCCGCTGCCTTTGGGAGTGGCCACCGCAATGGAAGTTTCTATCCATCAATGTCCAAATCTCCCTGAAAAAAATCAGAAGCCTTTGGATGCTAGGATTATTATTATTTTAACAACACCAACAGCCACTAAACTCTTCTAATTGAGAACACTCGCTTAGGGACTGTTACAAAAATGACTTCTTGATGGACTGGGGAAAGACATCTAGATTCTGCTTTGGGGAAAATGTCTTTCTCTGCCGGGGAGAGCTGGCTTTTCAGATGTTTTCAATCATCACCGTCTCCGGCACGAGCCTTTAAATTTAGGCCAGATGAGATACCCCAGCCCTGTGCAGGAATTGACTTGTACGCATCTGAACTTCCACAGCTGGAGGGAGAGGGGGGAGGGCAGGTGCAGAAGGGGTCTCTGGGAGAGGGGGCTTTGCAGTCGTGGTCTGTTGTGATCAGGAAGATGGAAGCTCTCTGTGTTCATAACTCACACAGCCGTGTCACTTCCAGATGCACAAAGATTGTATGCTATCTTTCCATAGCCAAGCCTAAAAAGCTCGAAGATCCTGTCTTAGAGTGTCGAGTTATGACAATGGGAGAGCACCTCTTGAGGTGCAGTATTCAGAAGGACGTGTGTGCACACCAGGGGACCCCAGAGGACAGCTGAGTGTCACTCAGGCATTTCCTCTTCTTCTCAGAGACTTCCAATTATCCAGGAAGCCGTTGTCCCCTTTGGCAAGAGCTGGGATGCCAGGCTCAAGGAGGCCGTGGTGCCCTCTCTGTTTTGAGGGCAGTGGCTCGGTGGGAAAGTCGATGGGTAGCTGGAACCGATGACCCCAGCCTTTGGGGAAAGGACAGGGTGTGGAGGAAAGCCAGGGATTTCTACAGTGGGGCCAGGCTCCTGGGGGAGTCATGGAGACGTCCCGGCTTGAGGAAGGGGAGTACTCAGTACCCCCAGGGGCTCACCTGGGCTCTGAGGCAGGCAGCCCCATCCTTCTTGTGCTGTCAATCAAAGGCTATGTGTGTCCCCAGGACTTCCCACCACCATTTGTCTCGGCAGCTGCCTGCTGGAGTGTGTATGACCCAGGCTGCTCAGCTGTGTCTGTGGAGCAGGCTAGGCCTCCCTGCCCCCGCCCCTCTGGGCAATGCCTTTCAGAAAGCCTCCTGTGGCAGCACAGGACACAGCAAGAGTGAGCAGCCCTAGAGTCTGGGGTTTCCGGCCAAGGAAGAGGCGAGAATGAGTTGCTGTGGGGGTGAGTCCATCCTCCGCAAGGCAGGGATTGGGTCTTCTTGCTATTCTGGTTGCTATTCTGGGGCCCCCCGAGGGAATCAGTAAACACTTGCAGGTCATCACGGTGACCATGGCAGAGACCACCTCTGTCCACTAGCTTATCTCTTGAAATGTGGAAGCAGAGACGCTTCTAAGAGACCCCACGTCTCACCTCAAAGGCAAGAAGTCAGTGAATGGATGGTGAAAAAAATGTCATGCCTAGAGCCAGAAAGCCTCTCGTGTGATGAGCTCAAATGCATTAAAGAGAGTTAAATCTATTCACTGTCCCAATATGCCTTATCCTGGACAGGCAGATGAGCAGAAAGTATTGTTTGTTTTTAATTTTAAAATATCTTTTAAAAAATGACTGCTGGCCAGGTGTGGTGGCTCATGCCTGTAATCCCAGAACTTTGGGAGGCCGAGGCGAGCGGATCACTTGAGGTTGAGAGTTTGAGACCAGCCTGACCAACATGGAGAAACACCGTCTCTACTCAAAATACAAAATTAGCCGGGCATAGTGGCTCATGCCTGTAATCCCAACTACTCTGGAGCCTGAGGGCACCTGGGAGGCGGAGGTTATGGTGAGCTGAGATCGTGCCATTGTACTCCAGCCTGGGCAACAAGAGTGAAACTGCCTCAAAAAAAAAAAAAAAAAAAGACCGCTATAGGCCAGGGACAGTGGCTCATGCCTGTAATCTCAGCACTTTGGGAGGCTGAGGCAGGAGGATAGCTTGGGCCCAGGAGTTCGAGCCAGCCCGGACAATATACCGAGACCTCCGTCTCTATAAAAAATTTTAAAAATTAACTGAGTATGGTTGTGCATGCCTATGGTCCCAGTTACTTGGGAGGCTGAGGCAGGAGGACAGCTTGGGCCCAGGAGTTCAAGGCTTCAGTGAGCTAGGATCATGCCACTGCACTTCATCCTGGGCAACACAATGAGATCTTGTATTAAAAAAAAAATGTGGCTATAGAAACCGAGGTTGGAGGAGGAGCGAGGCGGGGAAGGGACAGGATTTGGGGACTTGGTACAGAGAAGGGCTGATTCCCAGGCACTGTTCTGAAGACTTCCTTTCTCTTGCCACAAAGCAATGCATGAGCCAGAAGGAACAGGAGGCTTTAGAAGGCCAAGTGACTCTGCCCCCATCTCCGCTGGGCACTCAGGGAGGGCTGGTGGCGAACGTGATGGAAGACTCAAGTTATCATGGAGTCCATGCTCAGGTGCTGTGATGGTACCACCGGAGCGCTCATGACCTGGAAACACCGCAGCCACGCTCTTGTCATCTTTCTTGCTCCTTGGGGATTCTCTATGGCAAACGGACAGGGCACTGGCTTTCAGGAATAAAGAGAGGTCACTTCCCAGCACCAAGAATCCACTTGGTAGGGACTGAGCTGCTATGAACTGGGCAAAAGGAGCCAACCTCCCGGATGGGTGGCTGGGGTGGTGGCTTGGGCTAGTAATCATCCTTTTCACTAAGAAAGGAAGTTCAGCAAAGCTTGAGGATCTTAAAATGCCATTCAGAGTTTCCTCTTCCTTGCAAAACTTGAATATGGCTGCATTTGTTTTGTATTCAGCCCAAGAAAGGTAATGGAAGGAGCCTCATATGACAAGAGCTGGTCTTAAATGAAAAATACTGCACATTAAAAAGATCTGAGGGAAGCCCAGCTATTTCTTCTCCCCATTTCTTTGTAAAAGGACCTCAAAATGATCAGTCCCAAAGGCCAGGCCCCTTTTAGTGGCATGCCCCAGGACCCAAGGACAGAGTCCTCGGGGAGGGCATGGAAACCGGGCATGGCGGCTGGTGTGCTCACGACTGTCCTCCCCACGCCTCCTGCGCCAATGCTGCCTGTGTCTCACAGAGAAATGTGTTTGGGACGATCACCCCCGAAGCCCTGCTGATGGCCCACAGCAGGGGTGCTCACACTCCAGGGTCATCAGAGTGATCTGGTGAGCTTTTAAAAGATGCAGATTCCTAGGCACTGCTTGCAGATTCCCATTATGTGGTTTGGGGTGGAACCTGGGAACTGCATTTTGACAGGAGGTGCCAGCGCAGGCAGGGCGGTGTCCACAAGGTAGGAGACCCTGATAGCTGCAGGGTGGTGGGAGCAGACTGGCCCCTGGTCACTTCATGGAGACAGTAGGAGGTGGCCAGCTGCTCCCTGGGAAGGGGCAGCCCTGCCACACGGGTCTGAGGGCTGCCTTCAGAGGCCCCTGGTCTGGCAAAGTCACCAAGTCCTCTGGGAGCTCCTGCCTGATGCTTTGAAATGTCAAATAGATACTGCCTCTGCCCCACCTTCCTGGGGAAGGAACAGTGACTTTGCCTTGAGCTCTTTGGTGACCCAGTCTCTCCTAGGGCCTCTCGTCTGCCCGGAGAGACTGCCCATCCATGCCACATGGGCCAGCACATTGGCGGGGCTGTGAAGGTCTTGAAACCCTGTGAACACTTAAGGAACATCCCGGGACCTGGGCCAGCCTCCCTCCCAGCTACAGACACGGTGGTGGTCCTTCAGGATGGACGCGCTGGCTCTCACTTCCCAATGCTCCCGTGGGCCCTGAGGCTTTAGAACACTCGGGTTTCATGGCAAATCTTTATGATCCTATGCTTCCGTTAAAAATAGAACAAAATCCCCAATGCAAGCCTCTTGAAAACGAGTGGCTTTGGCAGTCAGGACCTGCTTAAAAGGAAAGAGTCCCATCACCCACCGGGCTGCAAACATTTAGATCCGCGCACCAGCCACCTTCCGGAAGGTTGAGCAGACAGAGGTGGGTGCGACGGTGGCTCAGCGTGCCCCTGGAGGAGAAGGGCCCAGCCCAGGTGACGCCAAGGGCCCCAGGAGAGGACATTCTGGCTGGGAAGGAGAAGTCCCACGTGTGTCTGGAACATTTAATTCAGATTGTTCGAAGCCAACAGAAGGGTAACGCCATGTGAGGAGACAGCTCCAGAGACAGAGGTGGGTAAATACAACCAACCCTTTAAAGGTGAGGTGTGAATCACTTTCTACATTTAATAAAGACATTTTCTCATTTGAGGCTCTGGAAGTCTTGAGTCACATTTTTGTTTTGTTTTTTTTTTTTTGGTAAACCCCTCCCTGCTAAAACGTCTTGAAACACATGGCTTAACAGTGGCTGCACAGAAAATATACACCCTCAAAGTCTGACTTTCATTTAAATACAAATATACAAAATGTAAACGGAGACAGTAGAGAAATTTACAAAACTTTTCTTTAAAAATAATAAAGACAAAATTCAGTTCTAATTAGGACGCTATTAAAATACGTGCAAGTTGCCGTATCCAATTGGATTTCTATTGCAATGTTTACCAAAGACAAATCCAATCCACCCCGGCCGGGGCCGCCTCGGAAAACAGACCTGAGTGGAAATTTCTTTGAGAAACCTCAAGGTTCTACGTCGACGGGATGGACGGCCTCCTTCCCCGGTTCCTGGGGGCTCCCTGGCACCCCCACCAGAGCAGAAGCTCCACTCGCTCCGCTTCTAAGTAGAGGGGTCTGGGCTGGTTCCACTGCGGACTTCAGGGCCAGAGCGGAAACTAGCTGCTTCCGGTGGAGTTCGAGCTGATGTGGTTTGAATTTATGTGGTGGTTAAAACTGGTCTTGGAGCTGGGTGAACTCTTGGAATTGTTCTGATGCTGGGTTTGGGGGAGACAAGGGTGGAGAGAAGAGAAGTCAGTCCAGGGGGCCCTGGAGATGGGTCAGGGGCTGCCTCTGCCAGCTCCAACCCTTGCTTTTTATTGCCTTTTGCAGTCTTACTTATGCTCTCTGACCCAGGTGCGAGGGCCACTCCTGGGGGCACAGGGCTTTATCTGGTCCTTGGGGAGAGTCATGGAATTAGCAGAACTTCCAATCAGAGCAGAGGCAGCCCCTCCTGTAATATCCACATGTAAAAACCCCGCAGGCCCAGGGTTACACTGCCCAGGCTGGAATTCTGCTTGCCCATCCCTTGCAGAATAACCTTGGCCATGCAGTTCCATCTCCCAGTTTCCTCTCCTGTAACGTGGGAGAAGAGCAGCTTCTGCACAGGGTGGCCGGGAGGATAAAATGGGGCCTCGTGTTCAAAGGGCTCTAGCGCGTGCCGGGCTGGGAAAGATGGGCGGTCGTTCCCATGCTCAGGCCCTCTCTCCACACTCCTGCGGGTGCCGGGCCCTTCATGTTGCAGGGGGGAGGAGGAGGGAGGCAAGGAGTGTTTGCTTCGCCGGGGCCAGTGCCCGCGCAGTGCTAAGGGCCGCCCCCCTCCAGCTCGCCCTGTCCTCTTCATGGCTCTAGGCAGCGGGCATTTCTATCCTGATGTTTCAGGCAGGCAAACTGAGGTGGGAGAGGTTCCATAAGTTGCCATATAACCAAGAAGTGTCAGGGCTGGCTTTGAACTTGGGTCTGTGAGACTCCCTGGTTAAGTTCTCTTTCTAGGTCAGGGTGTTCTTAGTGGGCCTGGCCAGGAGTGGGAGGGAGAGCTCATTCTTTCTGGAACTTCCATTTTACCTGATGGAAGCGCCAAAGCACGGTGTTTTTATATTATCATCGGCCCAGTGTACCCATCCTGGAGCTGGCTCTTTTGGGCAGGAGGAGGGAGCAGAACTAGGTGGAGGAGCCCCCCAGGTTCCAGGATGGGAAGGCTGGGCCACAGCTTCCTGAAGGGCCAGGCCAACACGGGGTGTCTGGTGGCTATCTTCGTGGTTGTGGGGTGAGGTGGGGCCCTTCCCCGGCATTTCCTCCACTGGCCCCCACCAACCCTTACCCCAGGGCCAGGCTCTGACTGTCTTTTTTCAAGGGCCCAGTCCTCTCTGGCTGCCAGTGGAGGGCACAGCATTGGATGGGGGCCACCCCAGGAGCTGGAAGTTTCTTCGGGGTCAGCTTCTATCCCCAGTTCTCCCTGGGCCTATGGTGTTCAATCTTTCCATGATGGAGGCTTTGTAAGGGCCATGGAGGGCAGTGGTTCCCAACCAGGGTGACTGTTCTCCCAAGGGACATTCAGCAATGTCAGGCGCCTTTATGATCTGTCACGACTGGTGTGCTGCTGCCTCTGGTGGGTAGGGGCACGCTTCTGCCCCATATTTTGTGATGCACAGGACAGTCCCCATGACAAGGAATTCCCTGACCCTGGATGCCAAGAGTGTCCAGGTGGAGAAACCCAGAGGGAGGGGGAATTGGGGGCTGCCCTGCCCTTCTGCCCAGGGATCCCATCAGCTGCAGTGGGTGTCAGGGGGCTTGGAGGTATCGGTCGCCCTTCCAGGCTGCTACAGATCCCTGAGCCCCCTGCGTGTCTCCACTGCAGGTCTTCCTGTTTTCCTATGGAAGTGAGCCAGGGGTCTCAGGGCTGAGGCCAGGACTGGCCAGGCATGGGTGTCTCACCTGACGCTTGAAGATTCTCTGGAGCAGCCCTTTCTTTGGGGGTTCCGGAGGGTGACTTCTGTTCAGGTCTGGTGAGAGGGTACCGTTAGGTCCAAATACGTTCAGCTCTTTAAAGCATTCTGTTTCTATCATCTGGAGGGGTCGCCAAAAAAAAAAAAAAAAAAAAAACACGGGCTGTCTTCGGGGGTGGACAGGAAGCCCAGCAGCAGAGCCACTGGGGCTGGCCCTCCCCTGGCCTCACCTGCCCTGAGCCCCACGCCCCCCGGGTCTCAGTGGCTAGGCAAGACTCCCCTCAGTGACTCGCCCATGGTGGTTACAGCGCCCTGCCTGCCACTGACACTCTCATGGGCTGCCTTCAGGGAGAAGACAGACCATGCACTTATCTTCCTGCCACCAAACTCACATCCCTGACACCTCCTTCCCCCATCCCGCCCAGGGCAAAGCAAGTGGCCCGCCCTGCGCACCTCATTTTGCCACGGGATGGACACAGAGCCCGTGGAGAACTTGGAGTAGAAGTCGTCGTCCGTGTGGTCCAGGTTGACGCCCTTTACAGTGGAGAACTGTTCAATGTCCAGCACGTCCTTACAGTACACGGCTCGGGGCTGCCAGGGGCACAGGGCTGGTTACACATGTGTCCTGCCCACGGCTCCAGGGGGCCCAGAGCTAGGCCTTGGGGTTTTGACGGGGGAGCAGAGGGGTGTCTTCCCAGGACCCACCCCCTAGAACTGCTGAGGGTGGTGCTGGAGGGCGTGTAGTTCAGGGACAGGTGAGTCCAGGGCAGGGGTCGGCCCCAGTGGCTTGGCTGGGCTTTCTGTCCACCTCAGATGACGGCCTCCGGATGACAGTGCTGCCCTCTCTCAGATCCATGAAGGGGGCTCTCGCTGGGGTGAACAAGAGCTTGGGGTGCCTGGGTGCCCAGTCCAGGGCTCCTTCCTGCCATTGATTCCTTACCCCTCCCATGGGGCATCCCAGGGTCTCCCTCCAGGCTGGCCCCGAGGCGGGCAGCAGGGAGCCTCTGTCTCTAAGCTCAGCATCTCCAGGCAGCCCTACTCCCATGCAGATATTCTTGTTCCCCTAAAGCCCCCAGACTCAGGGAGGTGTGTCTGTTGGAGGAGGGGCTGCACTGACCACAGCTGCTCCAGTCTTCCCTAGAATGAGTGCTGGGGATCCCGGGCCAAAGCAAGGGCACCTGAGGGTCTCTGGCTCCTGGGAGAACCGCAACAGAGGGAGAACCCCTGTGGCATGCGCAGCACGGCTCTCTCAGGAACACCTCCTGCCCTCCTCACAACAGGAGCAGCCAGGGCTCGGGCTTTAGCACCCAGGCTCTGCAGCTGGACAGACGTGGGCTGGAGTCCCAGCAGTGGGGCTTAGGAATTTTGGGGAAGTCTCATATCCCCTGAGGCCTGTGTCCTGGTTCCTTACCTGCAAAATGGGGATAACACAGGCGCCTGGGCCACAGGACTGCTGTCAGTGCTGGCTGCCAAGCCTGGCACCCGTAACTGGGAGCTGGCATTATGATGGTGGGTATATCTTTCACCTCACTCGCCCCTCAACTGGGCACTGGGGGCCTGCTCTGGACCAGAGCATAGATGAACCTGGATGGACCCCCCTCTAAGAGTTCAAGGTTGGTGTGGGGAAGCTTCCCAGGGGCTCTGGAGATGAGATCTTTATAGAGATGGCTCCAGGTGGTGTGCCAGGGATCTACAGACCTGGTGACGTATCTGTCCCTGGAGGGTAGAGGCCACCTCCTGCCCACAGTCTCCTGACATTTGGCTGATTGAAGGTTGTGAATCAGTGCACCAGCTCAGTGTGGGCTCTGCCATGCCAGGAAGTTTCTAGCAATGGTCTCAGGGCTCGCCACTTTCTGGAACTCTCCTGTCCGGTCTGCTCTGGTGTCCAGTTCAAGGCTCGAGGCCATGCCATCCCCAGGAGAGCAAACCATGAGCCCAAGTGCACGTGGGCGGAAGCAGGGATGGGGGCAGGAATGTCCAACTGAAGAGTGCGACTCCTCTAGTTCCCAATGGGATGCATGCCACTGTGGAACTCAGCGGACTTTTAGCTGGAAGCAAGACCACATCATTCACATGCCAGTGCTGGATGAAAATGCCGGCCCCGTGTTCGACATTTAGAATTTTAAGATGGCAACAGAAGGCACTGAGCCAGGTGTGGGGCCCAGGGTGCCCAGGTGAGGTTCATGAAGCTGGCCCTGGGTGGCTTGCAGAGGAACATTAAGAAATGAGTGTATTTTGGCCGGGCGCGGTGGCTGTAATCCCAGCACTTTGGGAGGCCGAGGTGGGCAGATCACCAGGTCAGGAGTTTGAGACCAGCCTGGCCCATATGGTGAAATCCTGTCTCTACTAAAAATACTAGCCAGGTGTGGTGGCGGGTGCCTGTAGTCCCAGCTACTTGCGAGGCTGAGGCAAGAGAATTGCTTGAACCTGGGAAGCAGAGGCTGCAGTGAGCCGACATCACGCCACTGGACTTTAGTCTGGGCCACAGAGTGAGACTCCATCTCAAAAAATAAAAAATAAAAAAAAGAGTGTATTTAAAAAAATCTGTAATGGAACAGAAAGTTACCTGGCACACCCAAACCCCACTTTCATGGCTATTATTTCCTTGGAAAGGTTTCCTTTTAAAATACATTGATTTTTATTTTAAAAAGAGTCAATGGACGTGAAAAAGATGATGGTGCTAACACTGCTTGCGGTTTAGGAACCCGGCAGCAGCCCCGACAGTGGTGTGGGGACAGACAACGGTGGGGGCTGGTGGGGACAACAGTGAGGGGCTGGCATGCAGCCTGGGGAGGGCCAGCGAGGAAAAGGCAAAGTCTCCAGCCCACAGCAGCTGCGCACTCTAGGGCCTGCAACCTTTGCTCACCTGAAGCCTCAAATGCCAGGAACAGAGGCCCTAGGCCACAGGGTTCACAGCATGGGGGGGCAGGAGCTCTGGTGGGCTGCCCCGTGCATTATGCCAAGCTGTGCACTTTGGGGGGGCCCTGTTACCTCATCCTCTTAATGCCCTGATTCAAGATAGCCAGAGTCACTGCCAGGGTGACCAACTGTCCCTGTTTCCCCAGGACACAGGACTTTCAGTGCTAAAAGCAGGACAGTCCCAGGCAAAGCAGGACGGTTGGCTGGCCCGACCCTAAGAGCCACCTCCTTCCACACGCTGCTTCTGGGCGCTTTTCTCCAGCTATGCCCAGGCAGCTGCGCGTGGAGGCCCCGCTCCCTTCCATCTTCCCCACGGCTGCCAGTTCTCTTTTCCTGTGGCTCGTATTTCTACTTCTATTTAAGGGGTTTTGCTGACACCCCTCCTCCTCTTCAGATTGGAAGTCCCATGAAGGAAACAGCCAACTGTTTTGTGCACCACGGGTCTCCCTGGGACTTGGGGGGCCTTGGGGGGCCTGGAGTGTGCTGGAAGGTAGAGGCATAGTTTCACTGTCGTGGCTAATCTCAGCTGTCACCATAGCAACAGGCAGCCCAGACGCCACAAGGATGGCCACCTGGGTTCCAAACCTTTGCCACACCCCCATATGGGTGGCCATGTCCTCTCCAATTTTGGACCTCAGCCCAATGGCACATCTGCTCATTCTATGTGGTTTCCTGGGATACCAAGTAGTGGCCACTCCCAAAGCCCTCGACACTACAAGCAAACAACAAATAAACAACACACTCCCTGCACGTAGCACTTCCCATAACAGTGACTCTCACCCCTGGCTGCACACCAGAATCACCTGGGGAGGTTTCAAACATCCCGAAGCCCAAGTCTTATCCTCAACTCCCGGGGACTGGATCCGAGGAAAAAGTTGTTCTTGCTGCCCAGGTGGTTCCCCAGGCAGCCAGGGCTGACAGCGATGCTGTGATTAGCATTCTCCCCCTGCCTGCTCAAGGTGATCTGTAGATCGAGTCTGTAGCATTCAGTGACTTTTTTTTTTTTTTTTTGGAGATAGGAGTCTCACTCTGTTGCCCAGGCTGGAGTGCAGTGGCGAAATCTCAGCTCACTGCAACCTTGGCCTCCTGGGTTCAAGCGATTCTCCTGTCTTAGCCTCCCGGGTAGCTGGGATTATAGGTACCCACCACCAGGACTGGTTAGTTTTTGTATTTTAATAGAGACAGGGTTTCACCATGTTGGTCAGGCTGGTTTTGAACTCCTAATCTCAGGTGATCCACCCTCTTCAGCCTCCCCAAGTGCTGGGATTACAGGCATGAGCCACTGTGCCCGACCTACTCTTTATATTCGCAATGGCCCCCGCGCTTCCCCAGAAAACATTTCCTGATCACCCATCACACTGATGCCATCCTTCGCCGGATGGTGTCTGTGGTGTGGTTGCCATGGACACTGATCCGCACCCAGCAGCTTCCCAAGCCAGCTGCTGCCCCAGAGGACCACGGGATCCTCACCTACAGGGGCTGCCAGAGTTCCAAGGACTGTCCCCACCCACTCCCACTGTATTGGTAAGTGATAACCACTGGTTCTGGAGGAGGGGGATGGGGTCGCCCTGATTTGCGGCATTTGCAGATTGCTGTGGTTCAGAAGCCCCCACCGGGGTCTACTGTAAGCTATTGACGCGAAGCCACTGGACGCGGAATTGGGAAGAGATGTGTAAATGCACTCTCCGGAGATGGAGCGATTCAGCTTCAGCACACTGCTGCTCCCATGTCCTCCACAGTCCCCAGCCCAGCCCCACCCCGGCCAGCGGTTGTCTATGGGAGCGTGGAAGGAGCCGGGGCACAGCAGGCCTTCCTGGCTCCGATTCTCTGACTTTACACAGAGCAGGCCCCCGAAGCCCAGCATGGATTCTGCACAGATCACCCAGCCTCTGCGGGGCCTGGCTCTCTTGGGCCTCTGACCCCTGAGAGCCCGTGATTTATAGACCATGTAGGGGCTTTCAAGGGCGGCTCTACCTCGGCTGGATTCTAGCCTCACACACCGACTGGGGGACCTGGGGACCTCCTGGGAAGATGTGACTCCCTGCAGTTTGAGCTGCTGGGGGAGGGACCTTTTGGTTCCTGCCTGGCCCAGAACCTGGCGTCAACAGTAGGTGCCCAATGCATGCACACTGGTCAAGCTGAGCTGAACGTGGTAGCCCTCAATGACAAAGCATTCTCCATTCAGCCCTCATGTCACCCGCAAATCTCCCAGGAAGGTGGGAGGCGTGGGTATTACTGATTTCACTGGACAGGGAGAAAACTGAAGCTTAGAAGGAATCTGTCCAGGTCCCCCAGGCCCAAGTCTCTGGACAGCCAATGTGGGCTCCACGGTCCACGCCTCTTCTGCACTGCCTGGCATGAAGTTCATCTGCAGCTTGGGTGAGGAGTGGCCAAGAGGGGACTCTTTGGTCCCCACAAAGACACAATGTGCCCCACACTGCTCCAGCTCGCTGTGAGGCGGTGATGGGGCACAGCCCTGGGTGCACTGCGAGGGGAGCCACTAGGGGCTGGGGGGCGCTACTCACGTCTGGAATGAAGGGAGGGTCCAACATCCCAGCTTCTAAGCGCTTGAAGTTCATGTTCCTGAAGAAGGGGTGTCTCTTGACCTCTGCAGCCCCCTCCTCTTGGCAGCCCAGCCTCTGCTTCGCATCTTTTGTGAGCAGCTGCAACAGAGAGAGCCCTATGAAGCCACGTGCTCGGGGCCTCTCCTCCCGCCCCGACATCCTGCCTCCATGTATCTTCGCCATGAGCAGGAACCCAGGACACTGCCCCTCCCCACAAAGGTCTTGTTTCGGGGCTACCTCAGCCTGGGCGTGCATCTGTGGCCACACGTTCCCAGCATGGCTAGATGCCTGCATGGGCCAGGAGAGCAGGAATTGGATCTGTTTCTCCCAGGACTATAGACCTAATTCCTGGGTTATGGTGGGCACCCCTTTACGGGTGTCAAGTCAATGTCACCTCTTCTGCATAGGATAAGCAACAAAAGGCAAGGACTGCATCGATAGCTCTCTATCGCTCACGTACTCAGCTAACTTGAAGACTTGTACCTCCCGGGGGAAAGCCCATTCCTGATAGAGAGAGGACACCGCCAAGGGACTTAGCCTCTAGGAGCGCTGAGACTCATGGGAGGTGGATGGTGCTCAGAGGACGCGTCAAGCTGATACAGATCGAGCACCCCAGGGCCAGGGGGCATGGCTGGCTGCCAGCTGGGGGTCAGGGAGCTGCATGGGGAAGGGGTATTTGAGTTGAGTCTTGCAGGACAAATAGGCTTTCAAGGCGTGGGTGTGTGAGGGGCATACAGGTAGAGGGAACCGCACCAGCAAAGCGGCGTGGCAGGGTGTGCAGGGTGTGTCTGGGGAATACCCAAAACAAGTGACTTAGAGAGCAGGAGGAGAGTGTGGAGTTCCGTCAGGTGGACGGGGCTGGTCAGGGAGAGATGATGGAGGATCCTGAAGGCCAGGTCAGGTGGTGGGATTTTCATCTGGAGGTAGAAGGAGCCAGAGATGGTTAGGGTAGGGGAGTGTCTTCATCAGAACCAACAGGCAGGCAGGTTACCAGGAGAGGGAGGCTGCGGAAGCAGCCGGGTGAGACAGGATGAGGCTGTGGATGAGCCCAGAGGGCTAGACCCGGGCGGGGGGGCGGGGCCTAGACTAGCCATGGCTGGTCACACAACCGCAGGGCCCCAGCTCCTGCCCTGCACTCCCAGCACCGCAGCCTCGTGATTCTCTCTTCTCCCCCGCCTACTGAGCACTGCATCCATATCTAGTGACTGTCTACTAAGCGCCTGCTTTGTGGCTAAAATCCAGGGGAGCAGCCTGCATGGGAGGGGCCCAGCCTTGTCTTTTGCCAGTGCCCCTTGCTCACATTCATTCCACATACATGGCCTGCTGTGGGGCAGATGCTTCACAGGCTAGGGACGCCGGGGAAGTGGAGCCAGATCAGCCTCCTGGGGCTCCGGGTCTGGAGAGGGCTGCCCCCAGACAAGGGAATCAAAGGTGGCATCAGGGCCAGCACCGGGTTCCAGCCTTGAAAGGACTAAGCAGAGAGCTCAGTTGCTCACAGCGTCACCCTCTAGTGCTCCCAAGGACCGGCAGGCTGGTGGCTCAGGGTCTGGCGCTCATGCCTCTGCTTCCTTCTCTGGGGGCTTCCCTGTCCAACAAAGGCCCAGGGCATTGGGCTGGGCTGGCCCAGGCGCTTCACTGTTCTGAGCAGTCCCTCAGAGGCAAGGCTCCTGTGACAGGGCTGCGGTGGCTGGCGGGGAAGGTAGCACAAACGAGGACGGGAAAGGCGAGGGCTGGGCTGGGTGGGCCAGGCCAGGCTGCGCATCAGCTCCTGCAGGGTGGGACGGCAGCCAGCCTGGAGCTTCTGCTTTTTTTCAAGAGAAGCCAGAAAATCCAGGTTATTATATGAAATCTCCTCATTTCTAAATCTTGGCAATGAACCTATCATTTACTCCTTTTGAAAACCGTGTGCAGGTTGAACAAAACACCCACCTATATGCTGCCATTTGAAATCCTGGCATGCAGTCAGCAGTTTGCAGCCATGTCGTCAAGTAAAGAGTTTGCAACCATGCTATCAGGTGGAGATCAGGAGAAGTGAGAGGAAGAGAAGGTGTGAGCTGGGGTGGGTGGGGCAGGCAGAGTGGGCTTCCTGGAGGAGGAGTGTGGATGGGCTGGAAGGACAAGTGAGAGCAAGATGGCTGAAGGGGAAGAGAGGGAGCTGGAGGGGGACTAAGGCCCAGTGCTGGACTGAGCAGGAGCTTGGGGAAGATGGAGGCTGAGGTCTGGGCCCATGGACTGGGCTCAGGGGATATGAGGTGAGATGCATGAATTTCTGGGCTCCATTGGTGGGGAGCTGGTTCTGTTGCTGCTAAGATGGAATGGGGGACAGAGACCAGCTTTCTCACTTACTGTGGAGGGGCCCTCTGAGGCAGGCAGGGCTGGGGCCACCAGAGCCTAGAAATGGGTCCGGGGCCTATGAGGTCTCCTGACAAGTCAGGCCCTGCAGTGTCCTGAGCTGCCACCAGCTGAAGGGTACAGGGGAGGCCTAGATGCTGGACTGAGATGCTGAGACCCAAGATCATTTGTAAGAGAAGCCGCAGCAAGGCCAGAGGCCAGTGGTTTTGTACCCACCGGACAGGTCCTCCGGGAGCAGCAGGCTTTCTCTCAGTGTCCACCAGGGGACAGCAGAGAGGCAGCAGCGCCCTGGTCCAGACTGCAGCAGGAGATGCCAGCCCCAAAGCTGGGGGCCAAGGTGGGTGACTGGGGTCCCGGGATGGGGCTGGGGCCCTCTCCTCCTTGTCATCCTCTCAGTACGTCCCATATCCCTGTTGAGATGTCTCAAGATCTGCTTCTCTGAAAGCCTGACCCTGACCTGGGACATGTGGTGATGCTCTGACCCCTTTCCCTTGTCTAGTTTGGTCACACCTGATGGAGATCTCCTGATAACACAGCCAAGTATGGCTGGCGCCCATGTTTTCATTTACCCGACCAGTGCTGCACTGCTCCTCCGGCCCCCACACCCTAGCCCTGGCTGTGATGACCGTGTGGCTTTCTCTGAGGCCCCAGCTGCATGGCGGGCCGGCAGCTATGGGGTTTGAGTGTGGGTCTGATGTGCACACACAAGCCTTCTTCCCACAGCTCTGTGATGTGAGCATGAGGTTGGTGTTTGGCTGCAGGAGAGGGGCCTCCGGGGTGAGGAGCCCAGCCAGATGCTCCTGGGGCTGCTGGCAGTGCACCCTCAGGCCTTCCTGAGCAGAAGCATTGCGACTTTTAATCAGCTTCTGGGCCTGCTCCTTCCTAAACTCCAGCCTGGGATGTCAGTGCACACGCTGAGCCTGCCCCCAAGGTCCCTGCAGAGGTAGAGGGGTGGGAAGAGTGGCCCCCCAGGCTTGGTTTGCCCGTCTGAGGCTCCGGGTGCGCAGGGCTCCAGGGAGAGGAGAGGAAGCCTGTGGCTCGCAGGTGTGGAGTTGGGCACTCTGGCCCTTCCTGTCCCTGTAAGGCTGGCATTAGAGGGCAGCTGCTTGCAGCAGGGGTGCCTGTACAGCTGTGCTTAGCACCGTAAGGAGGAGGGCCCCAAGGGCTGGACTTGAGGGCTGAGAGCTAGGCGGGAGCAGGGAGAGGCCGTCTCCCCACAAAGCCACTAGCCCTGGTTCCCAGGGAAGGGCCTGGCGGCCAGCATGGGGGAGTCAGGGGCAGGGTGCACGGGCGACTCCACTCCCATATCCCATACTTCTGGTGGCTCCTGTCACTCCTTTATCTGGCTTCCGGTTCCCACATCTGGCCCTGCCCTCCCAGCTCGTGTAATCGTCACTCCCATCGTGCCCTTCCTTCGGGTGGCTCAGACCTCACCATCCCTAGACCCTGTCATGCAGAAGCTGGGCTGGCGTGACCAGCGGTCCATCTAGTGGTGGAAAACTTTGTTATAAGCTGTTCAAAGACTGATATCATCGCCCCCAGTCCCTGCAGCCCTGTGTCTTAAGCCAACACTTGGAATTCAGAGTTGGAGGGAGCAGGAGGCCCAAGGGCAGGGGCAGAGGCCTGGCCCAAGGTCGCTTTGTGTCTGGGGCACCAGTTCAGACGTCTTCTCTGACCCACGTGTACGCCCCACAGGCTGAATGTGAGCACGTTCCACCCTGTTCCCGTCACCCCCTTCCCTCGGTTCATGGGTGTCCCGCCCAGGCTTTCTCCTGGAAGTCTCTGCTGAACGCCCTAGTCCACAGCAAGAAGTGCCCTCAGCTCTAGCTTGGGGGCATCACCACCAGCCCACACCCTGGCATGCTCAGACCGCTGCCCCTTCAGCCTGTGTGCTGTTCCGGAGACAGACTGCGGCAGGCCCAGAGAGGGGCACCGCCAGCTCGAGGGTGGTCTGACCACCAGGAGCTCACCATCTTGCAGATAGACTTGGCCTCCTCGGAGAACTTGTGGGAGTACAGCTCCTCGGTCTCCAGGACCCGGCGGTCCACCTCCTCCCGCTTCACCTTCTCCTTGCGGCCGCGGAACGGTGACTGGCCTTCGATCATCTCGTAGATGAGGCAGCCCAGGCCCCAGTAGTCAGGGCTCAGGCCGTACCTCTGGTTGTTCAGGACCTCTGGAGCTGGGGGCAGAGGAGAGGAGAGAGGAGTGAGGAGGGGTGAGACAGCTGGTGGTGCTGCTCACAGAAGGCCTGGAATTTCATGGCGGGGATGCTGGCCCCCACCAAGTCCTACCCACCAACGGCTATGAATACCACCTCCTCCAGGGAGCCTGCCCTGATGGCTCTCCTCTGTGGCCCCGAAGGACTCTGATTGTAGCTTTAGAACTCTGACCACCGTGGGTGGGAGTGTCCTGCACTCTTGATGTCTCCTAACCTACAACATGAGCTACTTTATTCACTGCTATAACAAGCACCTGGCACAGAACAGGCGCTATCCACATACTTGTTTCAATGAATAAAGGTGTATCCACCCCAATTAAAGATGATCTTAAATTTATCTGTAATTCAAACAATCTCTTGCTGTGTCTTCTCTACCACTTCGATAAACTGAGTTAGAGATTCACCACAGAAATACAAAAAAGAGGGTTCTACATCATCAGGCCGCACCTGTCTGAGGGGAAGTGCAACCACACACGTGCTGGTTTGCATACGAGAGCCTGGGCAGGTGCCTGCAACACTGTGCAAAAGGAGACCAGGCAAAGGCACACACAGGTGGGCAGAGCTGTCATCCAGGCAGCCCTCAAGTATCACATCCACCCACCCACCCACCTATCAATCATCCCTCAGGACTCATGTGGGCACACACAGACATACACCCCACAGGTTGCCAAATGTCACGCAATCTGAAAATGACCCTCTAGCATCAGAGACAAAGTACCCCTCCCATGCAGCTGCTGTTGGCACCAGCCTGGCCAGAGGGTGGCATCGTGCCTGGTCCTTGGAGCTCTCTGGGGCCCCTGCCTCTCAGGGGAAGGAGGGTAGGCATGTGAAGTGTGCAAGAGGAAGCCCAGGGCATGCCTCCAATTGGCTGGGGGATTCTAGGGCACAGGACTCAGCTCTGGGTCTCTCCCCTGCAACCCCCAGGACGCTGGTCTCAGAGCAGGCCGAGGCAAGGCGGCAGGAGCCCAAGTTGCTCTCTACTAGAATCATGCTTGGTGACACAGCAGCTATGCGCGCCTCTCATTTGGGGGCTCTTCTGAATTACCTCCTTCCTCTCAAGGGTCTCTCCTCCCAGACCCCAGCTTCAATATGACCTCCCCTCAGCAGTGCTGTGTGCCAGGCTCTGACCCCTAAGAGTGGCTTGGCTTTGGACACAGCAGGAGTTGGGAGCTGGAGAGTACAGAGAACTCAGAGCAGTCCTCACATCTGGGGCCCTGTGCTCCCCTTCACCCTGGCTAAGGCCACCCCCCAGCAGCCCCGCAGAGACTGTGACTCTGCATGTGATCAGCAGTGCGCAAAGAGGTGAGAGGCTCTGCGGGTGGGCTCTGGGAGCTCAGCTGGTGGAGGGCAGGGGCAGCTCCGTGGGTATCAGGGTGTGGTGAACAGAGGCGGCCCCGGCACTCACCCATGTAGCCAACGGTGCCCACCCGGCCACGGATCAGGTCTCCCTCAGGGATCTTCACAGCCAAGCCCAGGTCTGAGATCCTAATGTGTCCTGAGGGGGACAGCAGGGTCAGTGGGTCACTGGAACAGCTGCATGGACGCCTGGCCTTGCTGTGTGCCCTTGGGCAAGGCACACAAGTTCTCGGCATTCTCATCTGTCCGATGACAGCAGGGACCCCAAGCTGCCATCGTGGGGTGACCACAAGACCCTTGGGAGAGTGTAGGAGTGGAAGGACACAGGAAAATGGCCACTCTTCAGGAGGGGAACATAGGGACGCAATAGGATGCCTGGCCCGGCTGGACGTTGACCGACCTGCCGGTTTAAAGGCTGAATGGGCTTCGTGGAAGGCTGAGGTCACAGAGAATCTTGGCCTGGTTCTGGGATTACTTCATGGGAAAAATGTGAGGTTCTCCTGGCATTCTGCAACAATTTGCTTAAGGGGAAAAAATTATAAAACAATTTGGGAAGCAACTCCCAGACCTGCCTTGTTGGTCTCTGGAGGTTGGTTGTTTTTCACTTTGGAGAAACGAGAAGGGAAAACGTCTGGCCTGGCTGGAGAGGAACCTGAACTCACAGACCAGGACTGACCCCAGGGCGGGAGCACCGACCTGAGCACCACCTCGCTTTTGTCCCTCCCATGGCCCACCTGGGCCACAACTTACCCCGCAGGAAGGGACACGTCCCCTTCCCTTCCCTGCCTGTGGACACCTCCACCCCCGTCCCTCCAGCCTAGATGTCAGCAAGGGCCAGTGCCAGGGACCCCGCCAGGTCGGAGCCGTGTGAATGCCCTGGCTCGGTGGTGGCTGACAGTCAGGACAGGAGAGGAGCAGTGTGGGCTTGGTTCTGAGATCAAGGGAGGCTCTGCGCTCATCCAGAGAGGGGCGGCAGGTCTGGGCCCTCCGAGCACCCCACACAGGGCAGCATCCCCTGCAGACCTCTCTTCAGGTCATCAGTGACCACCCGCTTTCTCCCCTACTTCTACTGGGGGCTGCCAGGGTCTGGGGCCTGCTGGGAGGAGACCCATTTTCTGCCCTCAGCTCCCCACTGATGCTGCTGGGTGACTTTGGCAGGCTGGCTCCTCTAAGGCTCAGTTTTGCCATCTGTAAAATGGGCACAGAGATGCTGCCCTGCTCTTCTCTGTGCAGATGGGAATATCTAGTCAGATCAAAGAAAACCGGCCAGGCGCGCTGGCTCATGCCTGTAATCCCAGCACTTTGTGAAGCCGACCTAGGTGGATTGCTTGAGGTCAAGAGTTTGAGATCAGCCTGGCCAACATGGTGAAACCCCATTTCTACTAAAAACACAAAAAGTAGCCGGGCATGGTTGTATATGCCTATAATCCCAGCTACTCAGGGGGCTGAGGCAGGAGACTCGCTTGAACCGGGAAGGCAGAGGTTGCAGTGAGCCGAGATTGCACCACCGGACTCCAGCCTGGGCAACAAGAGTGAAACTACATCTCAAAAAAAAAAAAAAATTAGCCTGGTGTGGTGGTGCGTGCCTATAATCCCAGCTACTCGGGAGGCTAAGGCAGGAGAATCACTTGAACCCAAGAGGCAGACGTTGCAGTGAGCTGAGATCATGCTGTTGCACTCCGGCCTGAGCAACAGAGCGAGACTCTGCCAAAAAAAAAAAGAAGGTGTAGAAACTATTTTCCAGGTGTGAGACTAAACACCTGTGAGGGCTACTGTGGCTGTTCTTGTGATTCAGTGCCCATGGCCAAGAGAAAATAACGATGGTAACGCACACAGATGGTGCCTAAGACATTTACAGCTGGAGAGGCTGGCCAGCAATTTCCCTTCAAGCTGTCCTAGAGAAGCCTCTCCACCACTCTCTTCCCTCTGGGTGGGCAAGGCAGGATGCTTTGTTTCCATTTCACAAACAAGATGAGAGGTGGAGAAGCTGGTAAAAGTTAAGTATTTGCCCAGCGTCTCTAAAATTCTGGACTCCTTATTCAGTGCGCGGTAGAGACCGCGCCCGGCCAGAAGTTATTTTGACACATAGAACCTGATGGTCAAAGGGAATTTCAAAAACTCTGAATTTCAAGGTCTCTCTGAACACTGCCTGCTCACCAAGCAGGAGCTCTGTCCACGCCCAATGCCTTCCCCTTCCCCAGGTACCCAGCACTGAGCAGTGGGAGTGGTCAGTCTCCCCAGCCCTCTCTAAGAGTCCCTGGGAGGCTCTTTGCTTTCTCTGGGTTGCGATGCTCGCCTCAGCTACCTAGTAGGAAAAGAAGACTTACCATAATCGTCTAACAGGATGTTTTCAGGTTTCAGATCTCTGAAAGGAAAAACAATAAGCATCAGAGTGTGGGCATTCTGGGCAGCTAGGATGCACTGGCATCTGGGTGGACCCCTCAGGCTAACCAGGCCTGGGTGGCCACAGGGTGTTTCCCCCACACCTTGTGGCTCAGGCTGTCTGGATTGAGCCGAAATGATCTTCAGCTAATTTCTCTTCTTCCAGTAATTGAAAGCAACACTGCTGTTTTCCACAGGCATTTCCCAACCCTGGAGAGTGACTGGGAAAGTAGGAAAAGGCGAGTCGTGGCCTCTGTTCACACATCAATGACTCCAGGGCTGAGGATACTTCTGGCCGGGTAGCAGAGCCCCTTGAGGGCTGGGAAGACCCTGGAGGTCTCAGGATGCTCTGAAGGCAGAGCAGGGCCTGCGAGTGAAGGGAGCTATGCAATTGGGAAAAGAGGATCGAAGGGAGAGGGAGGAGCCATAGGAAAAAGACCCCCTTTAAGATGGGGCCTGCCGGAGACTGGCACATCCCCCACCTCTGGTTTTGCTACAGTTTGGGAGAAAGCACAGCCACGGGGCACAGCATAGGTGTGGCTGCCTCATCCTGTCCCTAATGTCTCTTCTCTTGATGACAGGATCTTGCTCACAAGAAAGGGAGCCTCTGCATTCCCAGGATGAGGGGAAAGGCAGCAGAAGAGATGGCTTTATAGGAAAAGGTCTTCTCTATGGGTAAAAGAACAACCAATAGGTGAGTGCGTGCAACTCAGATAAGCCGTGGAGCAAACAGTACACAGGATCTGGATGAAGGCTCCAGTTCTCAACTAGCCAGCTTTGTTTATTTAACTGATGGCAGCTGTCCTCACGCAGAGTGGTTAATGTACCCAAATCCAGGCAGTCTGCCTCATCAAGTGATAATTGGTGTTTGTGTATCCTTATTTATCACAAAATACTTTTGTTGCTGTTACTTAAACAGCATTCTTTTGATGTGTTAACAATTCCAAATAAGGGCAGGAGTCATCATCGCAACAAGCCAGCTGCCACCAGGCTAGCATGGCAGCTCATTAGTGGGCACTGGTCAGAACCGAGCCCAGAGAGAGGCCGTGGCGATTGGTCACAGCCAGGGGGGAGGCACTGTCGTCTCTCTCCCCCTGGAAGAAGAAGAGCTAGAACTTGGATGGCTTTCTCTTTTCTCTTTAAATAAAAGGCAATTAAGTGGAGAATTCTTTTTTCAACCTGCAGGGAAAATTTTCTGACTTTCTTTTCACTTGAATGAAAACAAAACAAAAACATAAATGGGGAGATGGTATGAGGGGAAGGGCATGTCATCAGACCATTCTTTCTTGTTTCCAGGACCTTCTTGGGCTCCCAAGATGAGCTCCACTGCAAAGGTCTTCAAACTGGGCTGTGTGTAAGGGTTCTGCCAGGACTGACCAGGGGGTTCCCTCCTGCCCGCAGTTTTAAGGGTCTGGATTTCTTCACATCATGATGCTCTGTCCTCGCACCTTTTGGGATCTCCCTCCCACCTGCCCTTTCTCAATAACTCTTCTGCCAAGTTACAGAAGAAAAGCAGCCTCCTCCTTTCCCGAATGACTGTAGCGCCCCACACCAGATGTCAAAACCCCCGGCTCCAAAGGACTGATTAGAAATGAGATCTACTACTAATTACAATGGCAACTCGACAGAAGTTGTCATTTTATTTTATTTTATTTTTGACAGGGAGTCTCGCTCTGTCGCCCAGGCTGGAGTGCAGTGGCAATCTTGGCTCACTGCAACCTCTAAGTTAATGTGATTGATTCTTCAGCCTCAGCCTCCCAATTAGGTGGGGATACAGGCGCATGCCACCGCGTCTGGCTACTTTTTGTAGTTTTGGTAGAGACGGGGTTTCACCATGTTGGCCAGGCTTGTCTTGAACTTCTGACCTTAGGTGGCCTACCCACCTCAGCCTCCCACAGTGCTGGGATTACAGGTGTGAGCCATCATGCCCAGCCAGAGAAGTATTTTAAAACATAGAGCCTTATGGTCAAAGGGAATTTCAAAAACTCGTATACGTATCCATATGTTTGTTTCAGAGATGTATGCTCATCAATGAAAGACTTTCAGGCAAAAAATATATTATTGACATTCTGGAGGGGATGGACAGAGTGAAGGAAATGATAGAAAATTCCTCATCACTAGAGAGCTTTCTGTGCATTTTTTGGATAAATGCAAGTGCATTTGTTGCAGCAACTAGAGATTCCACTGGATCCCTTGAAGAGTGTGATATAACTGTTCAATTTCAAAATATCAAAATTGCTACTATTCAATATGATGGAATATTTCAAATGTCTACTTAAAATGTAGTGGCACTGAGATTTTCAAAATTCTTTCAGGACTGGGAGAAAAATCTGAAGGGCACTGCTTACTGTGAGAGGACTCTGGACCCCTGGCCCTACAGTGTCCAGGTCCCTGTGGGATTGAGGTGGGTGTGGAGAAAGATGAAGAGCAGAACAGGCTGAGGACAGTGTGGGGTGGGACCATGGGTCACTCTGATTCTCCTTGTGGGCAATGACCGAACCCAAGTCTTCCCGGGGCTGATCCCAGATAGTAGCCACTAGGCTCCCCCACCCCCACCCAGCTTCCCTGGGTGCTGGGATGGAGGCGACTGGAGAGAGCAGTGGCTGTGGCTCATCCTTGACTTGAAGGAGCAGTCAGTTTCGGGAGCATCATTTCACTCACTTGGCTTCCCTAACCTTTGGAGGTGGGGGAAGACTGGCCAGCGGGCGGCCCACCTCACTTCCTGGGTGCCGGGGCCCAGGTTCCTGGAGTGGAAAGTCTGTCTGACTCTGCACCCTCCCCTGGTGCTGACCAGGCCTGATTTCCAGAGTGACGGCGACCACCTGCCTGAGGGTGTGGAGGGGCTGGCCCCACCCCCTCAGACTTAGACTTGGAAGGCCCGGTGGCCCCACTCACCGGTAGACAGTGTTCTCACGGTGGAGGTCTTCCAAGCCGCAGAGGATCTCTGCCGCGTAAAACAAGGCCCGCTCCTCCTCGAAGCCGGGGTTGCCCATGTTGTAGATGTGGAACTTCAGGTCGCCCCCATTCATGATGGTCAGGACCAAGCACAGTGCATCCTTGGTCTCGTAGGCATAGGCCAGGTTGACCTGGGAACGCGAGAACAGGGCCATGGTAAGGTCACGACAATGGCCACTCCCTTCTGCTTCCCTCCTCAGGATCCTGGGAGCTGGGGTGGGTGGGAACAGAGCAGCCTCACCCTGCTCCCCTGCGCCCAGATGCCCGCAGTGACCCTGCCTGCTGCCTCCTCGGCTGATAAGGGGCTCACACCAGCTCCTCCCATTCAGTGGCTCAAGGTGAGAAGGCCAAGGCGGGTGGGGCAGGCTGGCACCCTGACCTCCCAGTGAGTCCAACAGGTGGTGTCTGTGCTCCCTCCACAGAAGCACATGTGTGCATCAGCTGCAGAAGCCTGGAAGGTGCCCTTGTTGGACGGTCAGAAAAGCAGGGCTCAGCTGCCCTTCCGGCTGTGGGAGCCATGATCACAGGGCCGAGTAGGAATGGGCTGGAGGGGCAGTGGGGCTCCGGGAACTGGAGCCTGGCCTGGCAAAGGCTTTCTCTTGCATGCAGGATGTGCCTGGTTGATATGGTTTGGCTGTGCCCCCACCCCAATCTCACCTTGAATTGTACTCCCAGAATTCCCATGTGTTGTGGGAGGGACCTGGTGGGAGGTAATTGAATCGTGTGGGCCATTTCTCCCACACTGTTCTCGTGGTAGTGAATACGTCTCATAAGATCTGATGGTTTTACAAGGGGAAACCCCTCTCACTGGGTTCTCTTTCTTCTCTTGCCACCACCATGTAAGAAGTGCCTTTCACATTCCACCATGATGGTGAGGCCTTCCCAGCCATTTGGAACTGTAAGTCCATCCAACCTCTTTCTTTTGTAAATTGCCCAGTCTCACGTATGTCTTTAGCAGCAGTGTGAAAATGGACTAATACACTGGTCCACCTGGCAAGGGGGCCACCAAGAGGCGGGGGTCTAGGCGTCTTCTGGTGGAGTCCAGACACCCGAGGCTCTGTGAAGCAAGACCAGGGCGGGGCAGTAGAGAAAAATCACACTGGAAGGTAATCTTTCTCCACATAGGGAGGCGGCACACATGAAACCTGGCCGTCGTGGGCCAGGCTGGGACGGGCAGGGCCATAAAACCAGTGCATCGACATCAGCTATTTTTGAGGAAAGGAGACAAATGGCAGCAGAGGATAAGCACGCTCAGGGGGACCGTGCTTCTGCCGCAGGGGCTGCAGCTGTCCCCTTCCTCCCACCTCTGCCCTGAGAAAGGGCTCCAGGAGGTATCACCATGGGAACTCCCTGCCAGGGGCCATGGATGGGGCATAGTTAAAAGTCCAGCCCTTAAAACCAGAGGCCCTTAAAGACGTGCCACCCAGCTTTGTGAGACACGCGATCCTCTTCCCCAAACAGGACCCAGCAGCACCATCCCTGGCCAGAGCCAGCACTGCCCCTTCAGAGATGAGGCTCCACAGGCAGCATCCAGGGGTCCCTGCGGAAGGGGCTAGCGGTGGGGAGGAAGGTTCTGGATCAAGGAGAAACGATGGCTGGTGTTAGCCTCGTCCGCCTCATGTCCATATACCATGATGGCACCCACACCTGTACCCTGGACAAGGCTGGCAGCTGGGGGTGGCCTGGGATGAGATCCCAAGATGCAAATTTCTCTCCTCTTGGAGTGCCACTTTGTAACTCCCATCTCCTGCCTCTGAGGAATGACCCAAGCACTAGGTGGATGGTAGCCTCTCTCCTTGCTCACATGGCGGGTGGGAGTTTAACTGGGGCAAGCTTGAGGGGCAGCTATCCAGGAGCAGCTATCAAATGAAAAATGTACTCACCCTGTGCCACATCAGTCCCTCCACTAGGAATGGGTCCTAGGGATACACCCGCAGAATATGCCACAGGGATATCTGGGGACAGACACTGCAGCATGGTCTGTACTTTTTTTTTAAAATACCAAGTCTCACTCCATCACCCAGGCTGGAGTGTGGTGTTGCGATAGCTCACTGCCAAGTCCGCCTCCCAGGTTCAAGCAATTCTTAGGCCTCAGCCTCCCAAGTAGCTGGGATGACAGGCACCCACCACCATGCCTGTCTAACTTTTGCATTTTTAGTAAAGATGGGGTTTTGCCATGTTGACCAGGCTGTTCTCGAACTCCTGACCTCAAGTGATCCGTCTGCCTTGATCTCCCAAGCTGGTGTGAGCCACTGCACCTGGCCCTGTCATGGTTTAAAGAGGAAAACAATTGCCATCCACGGGGACTGACTATACAGATTATGCTTTACCTCTTCATGAGAATGATGTCCAACTTTAAAAAGGGGTGTGACTATAGGTCTGGATGGAGAAAGAGATCTACAATGTAAGGGAAAAACATTCCTCCATAGGAGGTACAGGAAGATCCCACTGGCTAAAAATACAGGAAGATCCCATTGGCTAAAAATACAGGAAGATCCCATTGGCTAAAAGCCTGTGCATGGATAAAACATGTCTGGAGTGACTACTCAGGGAAGCTTTTCATTTTATTGTGTATCATTCTGTGCTGTTTAAATTTTTACCGTGTACATATATTATTATTATTTTCTTTTGAGATGGAGTCTTGCTCTTGTCACTCAGGCTGGAATGCAGTGGTGCGATCTCGGCTCACTGCAACCTCTGCCCCCTTCAGCCCCTGGGTAGCTGGGATTACAGGTGCCTGCCACCACACCTGGCTAATGTTTGTATTTTTAGTAGAGATGTGGTTTCACCATGTTGGCCAGGCTGGTCTTGAACTCCTGACCTCAGATGATCCCCCTGCCTTCGCCTCCCAAAGTGCTGGGATTATAGGCATGAGCCATCACACCTGACCCATGTATTATTATTTTTAACATATGCATATATTTATTTTTAGAAATGAGGTCTTGCTGTGTCACCCAGGCTGGAGTGCAGTGGCATGATCACAGCTCACTGCAGCCTTGAAGTCCTGGGTTCAAGCAATCCTTCTGCCTCAAGCAGGCTTCTGAGTAGCTGGGACTACAGGCATGCACCATTGCACGAGCCTTATTTTTTATAACATGTAGCAGAAGATATTAGAGCTGACCAAATATCCATGCCCTTCACATTTCCCAGCCTTCCCTGAAACTAACTTGTCTCTGTGTTGACTGGTTCTGGCTGGCAGACTATGGGTGAAATTGAGGAACATCTGTCCAGCTGAAGCAGTGGAAAGTCTTCATGTGGATCCCCTAGCACTCATGTTCAGGCTCCAGATGGAGCAGCTGTTAGATGGAGGAGGGTGGTCCAATCTGATTGGACTTCAGGTGAGTGACAGATAAACCTCTGCTGTATTTAGCTACTTAGGGTTTGGGGCAAATTTGTGATCGCAGCAGGGCCCAGCCTAGACTAACAACAAAGACTCGATGGTACCACTCCAGGATGCTGGCACTAAGGTCCCACCATGATGGCACCAGCCTAGAGGGTCTGTGGAACCCACAGCTCCCAGCCTGGGCCCAGGTGAACTTGCTTTGTCCACTGAGAAGTTTGCAAGGTAGTCCAGGAGAACAGAGGCGTCAGTCTCATGCACAGCGGGGAGCCAGGCACTGGCTGGCTCTGGGGATGGGACAAAGCCAGCCACAGTTGACCACAAGAGGCCTCGTGATGGAGAGATGTCTTGCCTCAGCCCCATTACTGGCATTGCCCTTCCCCGGGATGGGGACCTGCTGCATTGGAGGACCACGCCCTTCCGGAGCGAGGGAAGCCCCGGACCACAGAAGGGCAAGTGGTCACTGGGCCCAGACGCTCACTCACCACAAACTGACTGTTGACCTTCTCGAGAATCTGCTTCTCATTGAGGGCCATGGACTCCCCTTTCCTCTTTTTGATCCTCTTCTTCTCCAGACGCTTGCAGGCATACATTTTACCCGTGGCCCGAACCTGGCAGGCACAGACCTGCGGCACAAGAAAGGAACCAGGATGGCAGGAGCACCGGGAGGCCTGCCCCGAGCTCCTCCAGGGCCGGGACCACAGGGCTCCCAGGTGGAGAATGGATGGGGCCAGAGCCGGCCCTACCTGGCTTCGTGGGTGAGGCTCCCAGGGCCCCATGATGCCTGACCTGGGGCCCACGGCTGTCCTGGGCCCTGCCCTCCCTCCTCCTCCCCTTGGAGGATTCCCAGGCCTGGAGGGGTAGAATGAGCCCCTCACACCAAGACTTAGAACTGATGGGCCCAGTACTGTCCCATTCTCAGGGTGACTAAACTTCTACAGGCTGCTGGCAGAGAAGTTTGGGAGGCAGTGATGGGAGACCCTCAAGAACTCTGACTTTATAATCCACGTAAGTGGGAACCAGAGCATTTGGGCTCAAGTCTTAGTTTCTGCTCCACATTGTCTGTGTGGCCTTGGCTGGGTCACCTAACCATTTGGGACCTCAGCTTTCCTCATCTCTAAAATGGGAATAACAAGGCTTGCCTCACGTGCTGGGAAGATCGGATAATGGACAATGAAATCCTGAATCTTGCGTGACAATGTCATCCAGGCCCGGAGTGGCCAAGGTTGCCCAGCCTCCTCACACCCTCACAGCTTCTCCCCACACACGAGCAGGGCTGCCCATTTGTCCCCTGCAGGCTGGACCTTGCCCGAGGCTGGCAGGGGAGCCCCTCTGTTTCACCTGCCCAGCTCCACACTCTCCTTTCATCTTAGACACACCTGATAGCTCCTCAGTCACTGACTCTCCCCTACCCTCACTGCCCCTAGGGAACCACACTGAGCCACTGGTGCCGCCGGGGAACCCCTTCGCTGACCCTTTAGGCCAATCCAGGAGGGACAGGAAAGGTGACTTGAATATAAGAACTTTTGATTAGAAATGCGAATGTTCACTCACCTCCCCGAAGCCCCCTTTTCCTAGCACTCGATACTGCCTGAAAGTGTTTTTGGTCACCGGTTGCCTGGAAGAAAGAAGAATCCCACACTGGTCTCGTGGTGCCAAGGATCAGAATCCATAGGAAACTGCAGCACCACTGAGAGCAGCTGGTGTGGGGTGTAATTCCAGGAGCCCCACAGGAGCCCCAGGGACCCCCAGGAAACATCGCTGCAGACTGGACCTTCGAGGACTTGCTCTGAGTCTGAGTGTTCAAATCCCAAGCCTCAGCCCCCAGCCCCCTGCAGGCTGGGGGATGCACAGGCCTTGCTTGCTCAGAAGGCTTAAAACCAGACGTTCCGTGTGGTTCTATCCTCTCTTTGCAAATCATGTGGGGAAACTCAGAAGGAAGTTGTGCCTTCGGTGCAGAGAGGGGTGAGGGCCAGAAGCCACAGAGGACCAGTATCTCATGGAGGACACGAAGATCACAGCCCTCCTGACACCTGTGCACCTCAGCCTGCCCAGCAGGATGGCCGTGCTTCCTGTCCTGGGTGTAGCCTATTCCTTTCTGCAGCGCTCCTGCTGCTGGCCCAGGAGACCCAGCCTCAGGAGTGGGCGGAGGCTGCTGGTCTTCAAACTGTGTCCTGGGGATCTTCACCACTGGTTCCCAGCCTTTCTACCACTAAGGACTCTTTATTATATTTCCTACATAGATGCGGAACATGAGAAGATCCTGGCTGCCACGATCAGATTGGAAGTAATGATCACCTTGAATCTCCCGACTTCTCGTTTTTGTTTGTTTTTTGTTTTTTTGAGACGGAGTCTCGCTCTGTAGCCAGGCTGGAGTGCAGTGGCATGACCTCAGTTCACTGCAACCTCCATCTCCCAGGTTCAAGCAATTCTCCTGCCTCAGCCTCCTGAGTAGCTGGGATTACAGGCACATACCACTACGCCCAGCTAATTTTTGTATTTTTAGTAGACATGGGGTTTTACCATGTTGATCAGGCTGGTCTCAAACTCTTGACCTCATGATCCAACTGCCTTGACCTCCCAAAGTGCTGGGATTACAGGTGTGAGCCACTGCGCCTGGCCAACTCCTTGTTTTAATGAGCCAAAGCCATTTATAACATTGAATCAGACAGAACTTCTGATCATGAGGCACGATGGCACTTCTTAGACTAAACAAAGACATGTCCCATCTAGTGGCCATAAAGGACCTCATGGTGCAGAGGGCTTGTGGTTTGCGTTGCTGGTCTGTTTGGCTACACATAAACAGCTTAAAATGTGAAAACTGGCTCTTGGCTCTCCAGAACTATTTTTGAGCATTGCCCCCAAACTCCTCAAAAGTCCCGACCAGGGCAGGGGTTAGATTGAGACTGAATTGGGCTAAAGAACTGGGTCAGCTGAGGATAACCAGGGAGGCTTCAGTCACCCAGAAGCTCCTGAATCAATGAGTCTTCCCTGGAAATCACATCTGCGGCACCACAGCTACACTCATAGGATGGCCCTGAAAAGCCAGGGTACTCTCTGGCACCCCGTGTTGAATCTGCCATGCTATGGCTCACTTCTCCCTTCACCATGTTTCCTCAGGACATGGGGCCCAATCCCCACCAAAGCACAGAGCTGCCCCTCTGCGGGTCTCCCCACTGCTCTTCTGCACAGGAGCAGCTAGAAGGGAAACTTGCCACACGCCTGCCTGTACCACGTGGCCCTGGGAAGCCTTTCCTGCAGCTGCCCCCGAAACCACATGAAGGCACCCTGCCTAACAGTTTACGACGCATGGAGGAGAAACGGTTGGTCGGTGTCGCCACAGAACTCCTCTGCTGGGGGAAATGAGTGGAATGCAAGTTCTCAAAAATTTCTTGGTTAACCCTGGGAGGAAAAAAATCCCTTTGCTATTTCAGCATGAACAGGGCAGGATCTTTCGCAGGGTGCTGTTTGTCATGTAGGGCATTCCCAGCCCAGGCTCCTACCCTCCAGGCTCCAAAAGCTTAATGCCTTCAAAAGGATGAACTCTCAACCTCTTTGCAATCAGGCCACAGATTAAAAGGACAACTTCTCCACTTCATGTGCTTGGTGCAGAGGAGGAAAAGGAAAGCCAGTGACCACCAACAAAGGCTGCTATGTGAACTGCAGTGCTGGGTGGCCCGGGGCCCAGGACTTGAGAGAGGGACTCTGGTTCAGGTTCCAGCCTTGCCAGGCCCTTGCTGAGTGGCCCAAGGCAGCTCCATCAACTCCTCTGAGGAAAATGAAGATCCTGAGAAGGCCTTCCATCCAGTGGAGGGCTCTTTGTAAACTGGTGTGTCAGATGTCATTATATGAACTCCTAGGAAAAAAAGGGCATGCCCCCCTCTGGGGGTCTCTATAGTAATGATACCCATTGCTCCAAGCATGCATGGGGGCTTCTATAATCCTCACAGCAGCCCAGGGAGGGGGGATCATTATTGTCCCATTCTGCAGATGAGAATGTTGAGGCTTCAAAAGGTGAAATGAGTTGCCCAAGGCTCTGGCTGGTAGTGGTAGGCTGGAGTTGGGGTCTAGGCAGCCCGTGCTTTGCATCATGACCCCACACTGCCACTCAGGGAGGGTGGGCACAGATTGGGGTTGTGTGTTGCACAGCCCAGGGCTCCGGAATGGGGTGTGCAACACACATGGTGAACACAGCTCCACTGGACTGACCTGTAATTGTCAGAATCAGGACTGAGCCCCTAGCAAGTCGGCTGTGCCTCCTAATATCAGACCTGGTGAGGTAGGGCTGATGGCAGTGATGCTGATGATGGTGGTGATACTGACGATGGCGGTGATGCTGATGACAGCAGTGATGCTGATGATGGTGGTGGGATATTGATAATGGCGGTGATGCTGATGATGGCAGTGATGTTGATGATGGCTGTGATGCTGATGATGGCGGTGATGCTGATAATGGCGGTGATGCTGATGATGGCGGTGATGCTGATGATGGCAGTGATGCTGATAATGGTGGTGATGCTGATGATGGTGATGAGATATTGATAACGGTGGCGATGCTAATGATGGTGGTGATGCTGATGATGGCGGTGATACTGATGATGGCGGTGATACTGACGATGGCGGTGATACTGACGATGGCGGTGATACTGATGATGGTGGTCATACTGATGATGGCGGTGATGCTGATGATGGCGGTGATACTGATGATGGTGGTCATACTGATGATGGCGGTGATGCTGATGATGGCGGTGATGCTGATGATGGCGGTGATACTGATGATGGTGGTGATGGACACAACTGCATTCAGCAGTTTACTTCCTGTGGCCAAATGCCTGAGCTTTGTGGAATACCTGCCTTGTTCCAGCAGGTGCTGTGCTTATCTATTCCTCAGCACAAGCCCACAATGCAGACACAATTATCCCCATTTTACAAATGAGGACGCTGAGGTGTGGAGACATGAGTGACCCTTTCTGAGGCCCTTCCTTGGGAAGAGGCAGAGGTGGGACTCGGACCCAGGCTGGGGGCTCTGGTGCCCTCAGTAGATGTCTAGGCCGATCCTTTCCTATCAAGCTCTCCTGGAGCCATGATGTGCCTGCGCAGGGTGGACATTGGCCACTAAGGAGGCCATCCCTGGTCACGCTGTCATCCCCATCAGTCAGGTGGAGAGAAATCACCCATCTATGGCTGCAGAGCCAAGGATTTTCTGCTGGGTTTCCAGAAGTAGGCAGGGAAGGGCTGTGAATGGGGCTCAGAGGGGCTCCTGGCCTGCAGCTTCCTGAATGTTTACGGGGAATGCAGACAGCTGTGGAGTTGGCAGGCAGGAGTGGATGGCTCCTTTCTCACCAGATGCCCCCCAGATGGCTGTGCATGCTAGGCCTCTAGGGACAGGGACTTTGGGCCGTGGGAGAAGATGCTCCCACCCTCATCTACCAGCTCAGCCCGGCATGGATTTTACACAGGCATCGCCGTGCTCTGCAGATCCTGGGCCAGTGAAGATGGCAGAGCACTAGGCTGGGGGTTCAGGGCCGGGGTCCCACTGGCAGCACTGCTGGCTTGCTGGGTGACAAGCTAAGTCAGGTCCTATGTTCTGCTTCCTCATCAGTCACAGGGGCCACATGTGCCCAAGTCACAGCCACATATGGGAGAGCACTTTGAAGGGAATAAGGCAGCAAGCAAATAGGAAAGAGGCTTCGTCTCCCCCATTATTAGAGAGACAAGAAAATAAGCAACAAGGAAGCTGCATGCTCACTCACTGCGTAGGGAAACACGAGAACAGCGTTGATGAAGCTGAGGAGCACGCACTTGGGCACCATGGGACTGGAGGTCAGGGGCAGCTGTTTCGGACAGCAGCTTAACAGCACTTACAGTTTAAAATCAGGTGCCTTCTGACCCAGATATTCCTCTGCTAAGACTTTCTCTGGATGTACTTGCAGAAGTACTTAAAGATGTATGTACAAAGCTATGCATTAGTTAGGAAGGGCTGCACCCAGAAAAATGGAGAACAATTTCAATATCCATCCATAGGGCACTGGATCAAATCAAGGATGTGCAACTACTCCAAGGAATATGGTAGCTCTTTATTTGCTGGCAGAGAAAGAATTCCCATAGACAGCAAAGCAAAAAAAGTAAGAAAAAGATGCTGTTTATGTGTGCATGAATGTGTGTGTCTGCTTGAATGAGCATATAGCATTTCTGGAATACACAACTAAATTAACAGAGGAGCCTGGTTAATTTTGCTTTAACCATGAGCCCATGGGAGGTAATTAAATTTTATATGAATTCTCAGGTGAAAAATGTGTACCCACTGCTTCCCTGATCTGTATGGGGTGTGGCGGACTCACCTTTCCAACCACTTCCACTGGAGAAAGCGGTCAAAATACATGCTGTCCAGATACTCGTGGAATGGTTCTCCCCTCAGGTAGTCGTGGACAGATCTAGCTCAGATGGAAAAGAGGATGAACATTTCACAATCACGATCTTCCAGCACGGGAGCAAGGCTGTATCCAGCTTTGGAAATGCAAGCAAACAGGGCCTCTCAACCCATGCAGATGCAGCACGTCTGGCCAGAGGCCCTGCCATTCTTCTGAGGGTTGTGTGAGATTGGTTGGTCCTGCCAACAGTTGTTGGGTACCTGCCATGTGTTGGGTACTGTTCTAGGCTCTGGGATACAGCTGGGAGCATGGGGTTGGCATTGTATGTGGGACTCAAACAGTGAATAGCAAACATGAAATAAACGATCCCAGAGCTATGTCATTATGAATGAGTTCAGCGCCACGAGAGTCAAGGGGTTTCTCTGAAGAAGTGACCTTGAGCTGAGAACAGATGAAGACTTCATGAGGTGCAGGGAGGGGCTGGGAGTCAGAGGTGGGGGCACAGTCCCTCAGAACCGCAGCTCTGGATCTGGTCTTGGACCAGCAAAGCCACCACTGGGAGTTTTTCATGCATGTGGCGGAACTGACTGGTCCCCTGCTGTGGGCCCTGGGATGTTGTGGTTCTATGGATCTTAGGCCATCAGGGCAGTGTCTAGCAGGGTTCCGAAACTGACTCAGGCAGAGATGAGCTTCTTCCCTTTAGAAGCTGGCTGTGCCAAGTAATCTAGCCCAGCCACTTTGGACCTGGGGAAGGGAGGGGACTATGGCAGGTGCAGCACGTCAGAAGCTGTGTCCTGCCAAACCTGAAAGCCACTGCTGGGGGCCAAGACAACCATTCCCTCAGAGTCAGGATCACTGACCAAGACCCCACCCACTGTCAGACCTGACTCCTGGGCAGCTCCAAGAGAGCAGCAACCTCCCTTGCTCTGCCCACCAGGGCCTCTCCCCACCACCTAACCCAGGGCTGGGTCCCAGGACAGCCCTCTCAGCTCCCCTCCAAGTGTATGCAGGTTGCAGTTTTTCTTGTACAAACTCCATGAAAGCCAGGATTGAGTTCTTGTTCACCTTTGTATTCCCCAGGACCCAGCACAGAGCCAGGTACACAGTAGGTACTCAGTTGGTGTCTGTGGTGCTGAATAAGGGCACGCAAAAAGTCCCCAGGCTCATCCAGCTATGTGGGGTAACGTGGTTTGGGAGAGCTTTTGTGTGTGTGCATGTGTGTATGTGTGCACACGCAAGTGCACACTTGCATGTGTCAGCAAGTGTGTGCATGTATGTGTGTGTGTACTCATGCCTTCAGGGTGTGCATGTGCAGGATGGGGTGGGGGTTTCGTTGGTGCTTTGCTGGCAGCATGCCCATCGATTTGTCTCACCCCCTACGGGGCGGACATGCCACCTGCAGACAAGGTAACAGGGTTTGGCTGAGATGCCCTCCTGCATCGGTAGCACTGGCTCTGGTTGGTGGTGGGGGTGGGGGGTGGGGACCCTGGGAAAGATTTCCCAACCACCCAGACAGGGTCAAATGTTTGCACATTCCTCTGTCTCAACAGCCTGGAGAGCCACTTGCTTTCAACACCCTTTGCAGCAGATGTTTTCTTTGGACTTGGCACCTCGTATCTTTTCCTCTTCGTGGGAAGTATACAAACAGTTGGTATAACTTGGCTGATGCTGTCAGACACTGAAGACCTGCCTCAGTGCCCTGTATGGTCAGGTGGAGAGCTGGGGCAGCCCCTCTCTGGGCAGCCCAGGGAGGACAGGTCAGGTGGCTGGGGCACTTACTGTGCACAGGCAGAAAAGAGTTCTTTGCATGGCTTCTGCAGGAGCTTCTCCTCCGTCTGGGAGACCAGGTCTCGGCCAACTTGGGCTATGAAAACAGAGGACTGGAAGGAGGAAGGGGAGGGAGGTGGTCAGTGAGGGGCCAGCAGCAGTGTGGCTGGGTGTGCCCACAGGTGTTGGGCCAAGAACCAGCCAGGCTCCAGATGCTGATGCACCTGGCAGCCCATCTCTGCCCCAGCGAGTGACCAGCTGCCTCCTCCAGCCTGTACCTGGCTCTGGGCTACCTGGACACTGGTGGTTTGGGGAGGTGGCTGAGCTGGAAGGCAGTGAATGAGCCCAGGTTCAGGGTGAGACTCCTGGCTGTGCCACTTACCGGCTGTGTGACCTCATGGAGGTCATTTGGCTTCTCTGAGCCTCATTCCTCATCTGCATAACACTGATAATGATAGTCCCCATGGCCTGGGCATGTAGTCAGAGCTGACAAGGTATGCAAATGCTCCCAACTGTAAGGGGCTGTGCAGTGTGACCCAGCCCATCAGTGAGCCCCTAGCAGGCTTGGTGGTGTCCCTTGACCATGCTGGGCCTCTTTCCTCCAAAGGCGAGAGAAGAGGAACACCTGCCCAGCCTCGAGGTTCATGTGTGAAAGGGTTTGGATCGGGCCATGGTGGACAGGAAGGCTCAGGAAGGGGGCGAGGAGGGGAGGGGTAAAGACGGGAGGGGAAACATAGCCCTGGAGCTGCAGGCCTGGGTTTGAATCCCAGATCTGTGACTCACAGCTGTGGCCTTGGTCTTAACTGCTCAGCCTCTCTCTTGTCAGGAAGACGATAGGGAATAGAAGTTTTTCTCGGAACAAATCAATAAAAACTTCAGGTAAGGCATTTGGCCCAGATCCAGCAGTAGTAGCAAGCATGAAATAAATGTCACCACTGTCATTTCTTTCTCTCTCTAGGTTAAGCTGCTGGCCTGGCTATTTCAAGTTTGAAAGGACATTTCCAAGAGTTTCTGCATCTGGCCCAGGAGTGGTGGCCGCATCTGGAAGGCAGCTCCACCCTGGGCAGGCCTCACCCACCCCGTCCCCTCCTCCCACCATTCACTCTCTGCCAGCTGTTCCCTGGGGCTGACTCACCAGCTGGGCTTTGAGATGGGTTTTTAATAAATTACAGGGATAATTGAGAAAATTGCTGGGAGTGGGCTCAGAAAGATGGGGTGTGGACACAGCTCTCTCCCAAAGGGATGCTGAGATCTGAAAGCCTTGCTTTATCTTCCCAGCTATTGAAATGTACCCATGGGGCTGATTTGCTAAGTTCACTGGATGGTTTCTTAGGGGAGGGGGGTCAATCCCCAGGGGTGGAGGGGACGCCCGAGGCAGCAGCTGGCCTGTCCTTGGTGAATGAAATCAGTGGCTTGTTTTCTGTTCCCCACGGGTTCTGAATGTCCAAATCCCTTCCTTCCTTATTTCTTTTCTAGGCCCAGCCCTCCCTGCAGGCTCCCCGCTGACCTCAGGGTCTCCCCGAACCAGGCCTGAGAGGCTTCAGCTTCCTGGGGGGCAGCCTGCGGCATGGTGCAAGCTGCTGTGACAGTGAACGCCAATCACCCAAGTGCAGGCCAAGCCATTCCCACCAAACAGCAGGCTCAGGGCACATCCATCTACCAGCTCCCATCAGCAGCCTGGGTAGTGGCTGCTCTCCCCCAACTGCCTTCCCACTCTGTCCCAGGAGACACAGAAGAGTAACCCACAGAGCACTGGTCACAACTTTTGCAGAAAAGATACCTGATGTCATGGGAGGAGCCCCAGGCCAAGAGCCAGGAGCCTGAGCCCTGGCCTGGCCTCTGACCTTGGCCATTCTGTGCCTCTGTCTCACCCTCTGAAACAGGATGAAGCTGCTCCAGAGATGCCTGAAGGGTCCTGTGAGATTTGGGAACCGATCACTGGGGGCTTGTGCTTGTAAGACTTGGGAACTTTCTTGGGACTTCTGGCAGCTGAGTCTCTTGGGAATCAATACCTCCAGGCTACTTCAGAGCAACTGAATATCAGAACAAATCCCGAGGCCCTGGGCAAATCTGCTTCAGGAAGGGGAGAGCTGATGGTTCGGCACCCTTAGTCTGGGAGGGCCCAAGGCCTGGCACACAGCTGGTGCTGTCTGTTAATGAGCAAGAGGATATGATCCTGGTGTTGTGCCAGGATATGACCTTGAGCCTGGTATGAGTCAGCAAGGACCAGATAGAGATGCCAGCAGGGTGGGCCACGGGGAGAAACAGAACAGTCGGAAGGGGGACCTGAGTTGCCCATCGTGTGCACTCTGTAGGGTTCTGCCTTTGTTTCTGCCTAGGGAGAACCTATCTTACCCACCACAGCCACAGCCTGATGCTGGCAGGGGTAGAATTAAAAGATGAAGATGTAGCCAGGTGGGACTCAGTGGCTCATGCCTGTAATCCCAGCACTTTGGGAGGCCAAGGCAGGAGGACTGCTTGAGGCCAAGAGTTTGAGGCCAGCCAGCAACATGGCGAGACCCTATCTCTACCAAAAAAAAAAAAAAAAATAGCCAAGCATGGTGGCATGCCTGTAGTCTCAGCTACTTGAGGGGCTGAGGTGGGAGGATTCCTTGAGCCCAAGAGATCGAGGCTGCAGTGAGTCGTGATCATACCACTGCACTCCAGCCTGGGCAACAGGGTGAGACCCCTTCTCGAAAAAAAAAAAAAATTGGAGTCAGTGTGGTTTTGACCTCAAAATACTTTTTCTCCATGAAGACAGAAATGATATACTGTAAGGTAATAACATCCTACCAGAAAGTTCTTATGCCTCTCAGCTGTACTGCGTGTAGTGATGTATGAAATGGGTTAGGTGAAATTCAGCGGCTTTCAAACCTTCTTTTTCTTTTTTTAAGCAGCAAACTTTCTCCTCCAAATGAAATTTATCCACAGACCCAATATTTAAAACATATAAAAATAATTTAATTGGTAACAATGGTTTACATATATTGAAGGCTAACTCTGGTCAGAGACTGTGCTAAAAACCTTGCTTCATGAATTCATTGAATCATACCCTGAGGTAGCTATTACTATAGTACCCATTTTGCAGATGAGGAAACAGAGGTTCAGAAAGGTCAAGCAGTTTTATCAAGGTCATCCAGCCAATAAGTGCCTGAAAGGGGATTTGAACCTAGTTTGGGTACCTACTGAGTGAGATCTGGCCGGAGTGGGCTCTCTGGGCCACCTGTGCCCCCTCTCACATTATCCCCTCAGGACCCGTGATGTCTGACTCTAGCCCCTGGTGTTCTACAGAGCCCAGCGTGAGGACCGGGGTGCTGTTTGGTCCCACAGCAGAGGCAAGTGATGCAGCTTCCGACAATGAGCCCAGCGGTTCAGAGAAGGGAGAGGTCATTGCGGGCTGGGGCTATCTGGGAAAGGCTTTAGGGAAGACAGAGTAAGGGGCAAAGCAGAATTTGACCCTCCTGCCTGTAGGCAGGGACAGCCAACTGGACTCCCTTCTCAGTAGATAGGAGAAGGGAATTGTCCAGGGTCTAGAGGTGACCCAACTGTGTATATGAAGTCACACCACTCTCATACCTTGGATTGGCTGGTGGGGGAGCTCTGCCCAAGGGCAAAAAGCCCTAACATGGGAGTTAATGCGTGGGTAGTAACATTTGGCTTTATACCCACTAGCTCCACTGGAAGAGATTAAGCGATTCCAACCCAACCCCCTTTCAAGTGCCTCCAGGGAATGACACCTTTGGCAGTAAGATGAGAAAAAGAAGCTGCTGCCCAGTGTGTCTTAAACTTAAGCCCAAACCTGCCAGGAGGGTAAGAAGTAAGCAACTGCAGTCAGACCTTTACTATTGGCATCAATGGAGCCAGAGGATGTCCGGTCCTTCCCCTCCAGTTCAGAGAAATCACTTACAAAGAGAGACCCTTTAAGAAGGCCCTCTGCTGGCTGCATGTCAGATCAGATATACCGGGTAAGAAACAAGGCCCCCAGAAGCTCAGAGGGCTCTGGGGTTGTGAGTAATCTCAGCTCAGCACCTGGGATCCATCCTCTGGGTCTTTGAAGGCAGGAGAACTCCATGCAGTTTCAGATATCTGTCTGGTGGGCCCGTAAGGTGAGCCGGGGAAGGCAGCGGGGCACCCTACATGCCAGGTGGGTTCTGGAGAGAAATGTCACTGTCACTCTACTGAGGACTCAGGAATGTCAGGAGAGCTATGGCTTGGCAGCACTCTGGCTCTTCTAGCAGGGATTGTACTGCTGGGATGGAGCTGATGGTCAGGGGTACGATGCTCCCCCCGTCAAAGATGTCCCCTGAATTCAAACCATACAGAAATCCAAGAGTGAGGGCCTCAAGGTCTGTAGATACCTACAGAGGTGAAGGCAGCCAGGTTGGAAGGGGTCTTGGTGGTGCTCACTGGTAAAACTCCCCCAGGGGTCTGGGACCCCCTCAGGTCACCAGGTGGTCTCCTTAAACAGCTCTAGCTGCAGACCTTGACTTTAACACAACAGTGAATTCGGGCACCAAGGTTCCTTTGAAAGGTATCAAGTCAACTGGAAGAAGGAGCAGGGGAGAGTTTCTCTTTGAAGGCCCCACCATGAATGCCTGGCCTTTGTGGCCTTGCACAGCTGAAGCTACTCAGCTGGGCAGCCTCCACATGGGGAGTTGGCCTGGCCCTGCCAGAGTCCACTGTGATGACTCTGGAACCTTGAGGAGGGCTCTGTGACCATCTCTCTGGGACAGCTGAAGACACCAAGATTTGCCCCGGGGACACAGCTGTGTAGCCTGGGGTGCTGACCAGAGAGCTCTCTCCCCTCTGGCTGGATGGGAAAGGACTTGGCTGCCTCGAGGATCTGTGGGCTGTAAGGACCCCACTGGCAATCATTCCCCAGCACTGAGCTCCCCACCCATTTCTTTGGTGAAGGGCTCTCCCCTTTTGTTCCCCACTGAAGCTGGGGGGGGGACAGAGGTGACCTTGAATAGGGGCACTTTGCCTGCTACGTGAGTCGGTGCCTCTGTATAAAAGCCCCCTTCACCTGGAGGTAAAAGAACCTGCTCCGCCTGCCTCTTGGGATGGGAAATTGACCTTGACTCCTCCTTCTGCACTGGAGGAACCTGGAGCCGCACCGGGCGGGGGGAGCCAAGGCTGCCTGCTGTTCCAGCGGGCAGACCAGACAGAGCTCATGTAGGCCTGTAACTGTCCTCGGGACCCCCAGCTATTCACTCCTTCTTACTACCTCTTCCCTATGGCCCAGACTTACTCTCTGCTCTCTGCCACCGGTTCTGGGGATCCAGGCAGTTCCTGATGCCTGTGATAACCAGAATGTACCTTTTCAGGCAGCAAGAGATGATGCTTGCCTGGGATGCTTTTCTGGGGACCACAGTGTACTGAGAAAAGCCCTTCCCACCACTTTGAGCATAAGTCGGGCCGACCCCCTGAAATGGATGAAGTAGGCCTAGGGTGGCTTCGCACCTTTACTCCTCTCTAAGCCCCTCCCCTCACTGTTGTCCTCATCTCATGCATCCTCCACTGCTGTGACTGTAAACTCCAACATGCCATGTAGGTCACCCCTCTCATCTTCTGTTCCACTCGAACAGACGCCTCTGGGATATCCAGGCACCGTGTGGATGATGTATTGCTTACCAGTCATGACTCAATGCACTGGAGGCCTTGGACTTTTCAAAGACGAGACTGTTGGGGTTGCCATGTGGTAGGAGAGAAGAGCTAGGGGCTTCTCCTGAAGCTGTGTTTGTAGAGCAATGGGTTTAGAGTGGATGGGGTGACTTGCTGGCTAAGCCCTTGCCCCCAGCATCCCTTGGGATAGCAAATGCCCAGCGCCTCACCCCTCCCATGTCAGCTGCAGCAGAGAGAAATGTCTGGTTAAGCGCCATCTGTGTTTAATCTGAAGCAGGAATGATCCGGGGTATTTCAGGCATTGAGACAGGCTGGGAGGCAGGGTGCTGGTGCGGAAGACAGGGGCCTGGCCTGGCCATGAAGCCACCTCAGTGGGCACCGCACTCAGCACTGGATCTGGGAAGCATGTGTGGATCATCCACCACACCCAAGGCTGATGCTCAAACATCCACCCTCAGTGGCTTTACAGAGGGAGGGACCCAAGCCCAAGGGCAGGTGACAGCCCAACCTCAGCTCTGCCTCTGCCGGTTCAGAGCAGGCAGTCCACAAGGTGGTGCCATTGCTTCCCTATGCTCCTTCACCCCACCGGCCGACCAGACTTCTGGTTCTCAAAGACTTGGGAGGCCAGATGGGCACACCTGGAATAATTACCAACTGATTATAATCTCAGACCAGAGGAGTTCGGCCTTTGCAATAACAATTGCGGGGGGGTGGGGGGAAGAGATCAATTAGGCCAGTTGCAGTGGCTTACGCCTGTAATCCCAACACTTTGGGAGGCCGAAGTGGGTGGATCACCTGAGCTCAGGAGTTCAAAACCAGTCTGGCCAACATGGTGAAACTCCGTCTCTACTAAAAATACAAAAATTAGCCAGGTGTGGTGGCTCACGCCTGTAGCCCCAGCTACTTGGGAGGCTGAGGCACAAGAATCGCTTGAACCCAGGAGGCGGAGGTTGCAGTGAGCCAAGATCACTGAGCCACTGCACTCCAGCCTGGGCAACAGAGTGAGACTTGGTTTCAAAAAAAAAAAAAAGAGAGACATCAATTTGAGAGGGAGCACTGAAGAGGTAAGATGGGTCTGGACCTTGAAGGAGAGAGAGGCTGGAGTGCAGGGACAGGCCTGGAGGCTGGAGTCAGCGCCGAACAGAAGAGAAGACACTGCTCGGAGTCAGTGCAGATCATGGGAAAGAAGGCCGACAGGCATGCTGCCATTGCATGAGGCTGACTCTCTCCTGGGGCAGCCACCAGTGGCTGAGTCATCAGCCCTGAGGATGACGTTACTGTGGCGGCTGCACTTGCTCCCCCAGCACTGCTCTCCTGCCTCTGCACCGTGAATGACTGACATGAGGAAGGGACATCATTTCCTACATCCCTGAGCAGCTCCAGATGTTTGAGACTCTGATTCCCAAAGCATCTCCCTGCATTAATATCCCTTGTTTCAAGTGTCAGAGTGGAGATGGAATCAGTCATACTTGGCTGGTGTCCTTGGAGGCACCCAGGGAAGGAGGGTAACTGAAAGGCCATGAGATCAACTCAGAGCCACACCCGGAAGCCTCCCCAGGAGCCACCAATAATCCTTTGCCCCATGTCACGCTGGGAACTGTCTGGAAACACATGCCCGATACTTGTTGAGAGATTTAGGAGTGAGAGGTGGCAGGAGGAACTGGAGATCAGAGGGTTCTCCAGGAAAGACCCCTCTGGTTTAGCCCTTCAACCCACTCATGGCACAGGTGGGGAAACTGAGAGAAGGGGCCCCCTCCAAGTCACTTGTTGGCCCATGGCAGAGCCCGGATTGGCACCTCTGACTGGGAGGCATGGATCTAAGTGGTACAAGCCCTTAACCTTAACCAGGTGTCCTGAGCCAGCCCTCCGAGGACATGCCTTTGCCCTCCTCAGCCCCAGTCAAAACCAGCTTGTCCCCATTTCACAGCTGGGAACACTCACATCCAGCAATCTCAGTCCTGGCATCTCTGCCACCCACTGCCTCCTCTCCATCCCCAGCTGGCTGCCCTGGTTTGCAGAATTCTCTTCTCTTGCTTGGACTATTCAGGAGGCCCCTCATGGGTCTCCGCCAGACACCCTGCCTGACCTGCTTCCCCTTTCTGTCCCCTGCTCTCCAGTGCTGTGGCACCACACTGGCTGTTTCCTGGGTGAGCTCCAGCTTTCTGGCCACTGGACCTTTGCTTGGTCCCTTCATTCCTTCCCACCCCTTCACGGCATGTCCAAACTGCCCCGTCTTCAGGACCTGCTTCTGATGTGAGATGATTCTCCCAGCAGGCAGGACCTTCCCTCTAGCCCCAGCTACCGGAGACAGCTGCTGCCATCATTACCATCATCTCTGCCATCACTGCCATTTCTTTTCTTTTTTTGAGACAGGGTCTCACTCTGTCACCCAGGCTGGAGTGCAGTGGCACAATCTTGGCTCACTGCAACCTCTGCCTCCCAGGTTCAAGTGATTCTTGTGCCTTAGCCTTCTGAGTAGCTGGGATTACAGGCATGCGCCACCACACCTGGCTAATTTTTGTATTTTTGGTAGAGATGGGGTTTTATCATGTTGGCCAGGCTGGTCTAGAATGCCTGGTCCCAAGTGATTCACCTGCCTCAGCTGCTGGGATTACAGGAGGGCGTCACCACGCCCAGCCATCACTGCCTTTTCTTGAGCACACTTACGATATGCCAGGTCCTAGGAGCTTTATGTGGGGTACCTTGTTTAATCTTCTTGAGGTAGGTTTTATTATTCTTACTAACCCCATTTTACACGTAGTTGGCCTGGGAGCAAAGACAGGATTCAAACCTGGGAGTCTGGCCAGAGGACCTTCTCCCTGAGCACCACCATGTACTCCAAGGGTACCACATTGCTTCCTAGACAGTGTGTAGGAGGATGTGGCCTTGAGGACAAGCCCTCCCTGGAGGCCCACGGGGGCTGAATAAGGAGGTGCAGTGGACTCTGTGTGTTTTGACCAATGGTGTTTGTATAGTGCTGTCATGCATATCCCCTACCCCACGGTAACGTCCAACATATGCTTCACTTCAACAGAGGAAAACATCCCACCGAGGAGCTCCACGCTCATTAGCCATGGTTCGGTCAGTGGACAAAAGGTCGGCCCGGGAGACTGTCCGCTCTATCTCCAGACGCAAGCACTTAGGGCTTAATGATGTGTATATTTTCATATGTGGGCAGCTGACATTCCCCATGTAAACTATTTGCAGTTTCCCAGCGTGGACAGACTCAGCTTTCAGGAAAGCTGAGCAGGGTAGAGGGAAGACTCTTTGGAAGAAAGGGGCTCCCAGGGGTCCCCTTCCTTCTGTACAAGGGGCTGCCCTGTCCTGCCAGCACAGGGTGGAGGTCACGTTTCTTGGGGGGGGGCACCCTCATTTCTCCTCCAGGGCGGGAACGGAGGAGAGGCACTCCCACAACCATACCCTGGCCACCCCGTGACCCTCCTCGAGGGGATCTGCGTCAGCTACAGGAAGCCTGGTGTGGGTGGGGACAGGGGTGGGAGTCGGGTCTTCAGCAGGAGCCAGGGCTGGAGGCCACCGTGGGCGCCTGAGGGACGGCCCGGCCTGACAGCCACAGGCCCTGAGAGAGACAGGCATTGTGCTGGGCCTCGATGTGGGTTTTCCCATACAGTTTTACTTCCGTGGCTCCCTGGAACAATGCTGTGAGGAGGGTCACATACTCCTCATCACTGAACCCTAGAGAGCTCTGTGATGAGGAGTATGGCCTCATTCCTGCTCATCAGGGTGGAATGCGGCACCAGGTGTGCGGTGGCGGTTCTGTAAACGCTGCAGACGGAACGCTTGGTAAGTAGCGGACCTGAGACTCAAAGCCAGGCCTGCCCAGTTCCAAACCCTGCAATCTCTCCGCTCCACTTTGCTGAATGAACCGTTGACGTTCCTGGCATGCAGTAGGTGCTCAGTATGCTTGCTGGATAAGTGTGTGTGTACACGCGAGTGTGTGTGTGTGACCCTTCACAGCAGGGAAGAGGGAGATAGGAAGTAGCAGGGCTGTCCACCAGAAGGTCCTTTATGGGGTCATCTGGTCCACCTCCTGCCTTTGTAACATGCTGGGCCAATACAGTTCTAAGGAATTTTCTTAATTAAAACCAGATGGAGGAGCTGAGCCCATCTCAGGCAGAAACCATAGGATGGGGCTGCAGGCTGGGGGAGAAGCTGGAGCCGCTCCTGGAGAAGTGTCCTGGTCTGGGGGCTCCCAGCGTAGGTATCGCCGTGTCTGTCTCATGGTTTCATTGGACCACAGGAGAGAATGCCTTCCTCCTCATCTCTCCAGTAAATTCCCCCTGTGTTTGAGCAACTGGGAGGTAAGTATCTGCCACTTGCCGCCAAGAATCCAGACGAATTCACCATCTATAAAATCAGAGGCTTGGGCCAGGCGAGCAGGAGGCCTCCAAACGCTCTTCACGTGGCCAAGAGCTCCCCTTGTCTTGCCGGGCTCGGAATCTGTGAGCTCACTCAGCCCTAATCACCCGGCTACAGCCACAGGGTCTGGGGCGGGGAGAGCAGGGGGTGGTGGGGCAAACAGGGGCTGTTCCAACCCTAAACCCTGGCTTGCAATTAAACATGCTCATACAGTCACAACCAGAGAAAAAGGCTTGCTGAGTGGCGGCAGGCGCAGAGAGCATTTCCTCACTTGAGGGTTGATTTAAAGTCTGCCTGACAGGAAGAAAAAGCACCATTCTTCCACCTTTTTAATCAAAACCTTCAGGGCCATGTGGAAAAGCCAGCGCCGCACGCCCTCACGTCCGTCTGGAGTAGTTCCTCTCTCTGTCCATGGCCAGGCAGGAGACATGATCCACAAGCCCCAGACAAGAACAGACCAAAGGAAGAAAGGCAGGGTTTTGTTTTCAGGGTCACTGGGAGGAAAATAAATCAGCCCAGCCACATGCTCACAAGCAAAGTGCTACGCCTGTCATTCCCTTCACCCTGGGTCTGATGCCAACATCCTGCAGCTCTCAGCCGAAGCACCCCCAGGTCTTCACCAGGATGTCCTTGTGGTCAGTCCAGGTGATGGACTGTATGGTCTGGGCACTGTGCCAGACACAGCCCCACTGGGCAGAAACATGCTGGACAGGCTAGAGGTCCTTGCGATCAAAGCTGGAAAAGTGATGTTACCCCCTTCAGCTAACTCACTGTGCCTCTTCTGAGTCAAAGGAAGGTGATGCTCACTGTTTTCCATGAAGGTGGGCACAGTCTCCAGTCAGAAGCAGATCTAAGGTTGGATGCGGTGACTCACGCCTGTAATCCCAGCACTTTGGGAGGCCGAGGCAGGTGGATCACCTGAGGTCAGGAGTTCGAGACCAGCCTGGCCAACATGATGAAATCCTGTCTCTACTGAAAATACAAAAATTAGCCAGGCGTGGTGGTGTATGACTGTAGTCTCAGCCATGCTGGAGGCCGAGGTGAGAGGATGACCCCCGGGAGATGTAGGTTGCCGTGAGCTGAGATCACATCACTGCACTCCAGCCTGGGTGACAGAGCAAGACTCCATCTCAAAAAAGAAAAGAAAAGAAAAAGTAGATCTGCAATGAAGCTGAGGAGGCCAAAGCTTTAGAGCTTTTTTTTAGTTGAGATGAACTCTCACTCTGTCACCCAGGCTGGAGTGCAGTGGTGTGGTACCGGCTCACTGCAACCTCCGCCTCCTGGGGGAAGCAATCGTCTTGCCTCAGACTCTGGAGGGGCTGGGATTACAGGTATGCACCACCACGCTGGGCTAATTTTTGTCTTTTTAGTAGAGATGGGGTTTCACCATGTTGGCCAGGCTGGTCTCCAACTCTTGACCTCAAGTGATCTGACCACCTCAGACTCCCAAAGTGCTGGGATTATAGGTGTGAGCCACAATGCTGGGCCAAGGGCTTTGTACTTGTAGTCCTGGGAGCTACAGAACGCTCCGTCTGAGGAGATGGAGCATTTCTACAGCACTTCCAGGCAATTGAGGTCACGGATGAAAAGGACCTGAATCTCCAAGTCCTCGGTAATTTGTTGTGATTTCTTTTCCCGTTCTTAATATTCACTTTTGTACCTACCTCCTATTCTTTTTCTTAAAAAGGACGCTCAGCAAGTTATTTAAACCTCAGTTCCCCCTCAAAGAAACCCTGGATCTTCCCTTGTCTCCAGCTCTCAAAGGGGCCTCTCCAGGGCCCTTCCAGAGGCCATGATCCCTTTAGGAAGATGGCATCCTATCTTTTTATCTTTCCTTGATGAACAGCCCAAAGACCTAGAGTCTAGGGGCTACCTGGAGTGTCATGTGGTTGGTAGAGGTGAAAGTGGGGAGTGACTTCCATGACCCCGTGTTTAGAAGTATGGGCATCCATGAAAGGCCTGTGGCTCCATCATGGGGCAGACACACGCCACCACTCTTGCAACCTCCTTAATTCTTTGGCTGAGGCACTCTTGTACCTCTTTGGTGGTGACCCTGAGGGGAGCTGGTTCTTCCACCAGGCCAGGAAGAGACTTCAAGGCATGGGAGCTGTCTTTGAGAGCAGAGGTGGAGGTGAGGCCACTGCTGGGACCAGCCAGAAAACTTCTTCAGTTGGGGTCCAAGAGATTCATTCCATCAGCCCTACAGGCTCCCCGAGTGCCCCCAAACTGTGCTCAGGCCATGAGCTCCACCCTAAGGACTCCAGAAACCAACTCCATTGGCCAATGGCAGGAGTTGAAGGTCAGCAAGGACTGCAAGCTGTGTAGTGCACGTCACAGCACCCAGGAGACAGCGCTCAGGCAGGTGGCCTCTTTAGACACAGGTGGCTCCATGGCTGTGGAGGGGTTTGCTCATGGCCCAAAGGGTAAAGGGGGTTTAGCCGGCCAATAGGGAGGACGCTTCTATCCTTCGACTCACACCGTTTGTGTACCAGGAATTCTTCCAAGACCAGGGCTCTAGATGAATTCGCTTTTTCCTAATGGCAGAACCAACGCTTTTCTAGACCCCTTTCAGACGGCAGGGTTACCTTGAGGATCGCAGGCAGACAGCAGGCTCAGGGCTATGAGCAACCCAGTTAGGGGCCCATGGCTGGGAAGTGCTGGGAGCAAGCCCTGCCTCGGGCTACAAAGGCTGGGGGGTGGTTCCAGCCCCTTCACAGCGCCCTGCTGACCTGGTCAGCCTGAGACCCATAGTGTCATGTTCTCTGAGCCAACAAAGTAGAGAAACCCAGCCCTTCAGAAATAGCCGCAGCTCTTCAAGAAGAAAACAGACTGGGTTTGAAAGACCCTGACCCACATTTCCTTTGCTATTCCAGTGGCTTCACAGAAGCAAGGATGAAGGATGCTTAGGGGTTGGGAAGCGAGGGAGGACATCTTTAAATGCTGGCAGAATTTAACTGCGGCCCCTGAGAGCTGGGCAAGTTTAATGAGAAGGAAAGGAAAATACACAGTGACCCTGACCCAGACCCCGACCCTTTACGTCAAAAGCAAAAGATGATAATGAACAAAACGCAATGTGCCCGGACGTGGAGTGAGAGGCCAGCTGAGCTCCGTCAATTTGATAATCCCTGGTCGTGACCTGCAGGCCCAAAGTGTGCAACAGGAGATGAGGCGCTGTTTACACAGGCCGCACACGCAGGGGCTCGCGGGACCCAGCGCAGCTGCAGGAGCAGGAGTGGGATTCTTCCTGGCCAGTGGTTTGCATGCAGCCAGCTCTGCTCGGGCCAATTCAGCCACATGCAGGTCACTGACACATAGAGCCCAGGCCCCAAAGCGCTGGGGATGTTCACCGGGGGAAATGGTGGGGAGTGTCCCTCATTCCTTGTGCATGAGAGGCGAGGGCAGGGCCCGCCAACTTTCCAGAACACCCACCACCCTCCTCAGTCTGAAATCGTGTTGGATTTTTCTCCAGTGAAGACTTCATTCCAGGGGCTGGGAAATGAAGGCGGGTGGAGGCAGGTGGGGCAGGAGTCTCCTAAGATCCAGGAAATTCAACAGAACCTGCCCCCTGCCCCAGCCACGTGATGCCATTTCTCTGCCCAAGGTTCATGGATGGGGAGGGCCTGCCAAGCTACAGGGACCAGGATCACTGCCCACCTAGGACAGAGTCGGGGTGCCCACAGGAAGCCCGTGGCTGAGTCTTCTGTCTCCCGCCCCTCCAAAGAGAGGCATTCTGGGCAAGAAACACTATCCACACACAGAAGGACAGGGTCAGAGGCAGAGCCAGCTCCGCCAGCATCAAAGGGACCTCTAATTTTCTGCCCTGGAAGGTCACAAGAAAGGAAAAAGGACCTAGACGGGCCTGCTGAGGCCCACTGTGAGGAGCTCCAGCAGGGCACATCAGCCTCAAGGGCGTCAGGAGGCACCGCAATGAAATCAGGCTGTGGGCAAAGACAAGTTGTTTTCCAGGAAAGGTTGGTGAGGGGTGGGGTGTGTCTATTTGAAGAACAATTACACAGTCATGAAATATGCCGCACGGGAGACAGTGACGTGAGAAGATGCTAAGGACATGGTGCAAAGTGGAAGCTGGGGCCCAGGTCGGGGGCCAGGAGTTGGGCTGGGCCTGGGAGGGCGCTGGCAAGCACAGCCTCTGGACGCCAGCCCGGCCCTGCCTCCGGGGCGAGCTCATTCCTCGGCCTTGCTGTCCGCCCCCTGCCATACCTGGGAAGCTGACTCAGGGGGAATTTTTGTCTTTGGTTAACTTTCAAGACGACGACACAGTAGAAGAGAAAGATCACAGGCTCCAGCATTGAACAGGCCAGCTTACATCCCACCCTTTCCTCACTCTTTTTCTTTCATTGTGGTAAGACAGATATAACAAAGTGTGCCATTTCAGCCATTTGACAGTGTACAGCTCAGCGGCATTCATATGGTCATCATGACAACCATCACTCTATCTTGTTCCAAATATGTTTATCATCCCAAACAGAAACTCTATATCTGTTCAATAGCAACTCCCCACCCGCCCCCTCCTACCGGCCCCTGGTAAACACTAACTTACTTTTCACCTCTATGGATTTGTCTATTCTAGACACCTTATAGAAACAGAGTCATACAATATGTGGCCTCTTATATCTGGCTTCTTTCACTTCACGTAATGTTTCAAGGCTCATTCACACTGGGGCATGCATCAATGTTCGCTCCTTTATGTGGCTGAACATTGCACCGTAGAGACAGACCACTGTCGCTTACGCATTCATCCGCTGATGGATACTTTGATTGTGGCCATTTTTTTGGCCATTGTGATAATGCTGCTATGAATATTTGCACACCAGTATCTGTTTACATCCATGTTTTCTGCCTTTTTTTTTTTGAGACAGGGTCTCACTCTGTCACCCAGGCTAGAGAGCAGTGGTGCAGTCATAGCTCATGCAGCCTTGAACTCCGGAGCTCAGGTGATTCTCCCACCTCAGCCTCCTGAGAAGCTAGGAAGACAGGCATGTACCACCATACCCAGCTAATTAAAACTTTTTTTTTCTTTGTAGAGATGAGGGTCTCGCTGTGCTGCCCAGTCAGGTCTCAAACTCCTGGCCTCAAGTAATCCTTCTGCGTTGGCCTCCCAAAGTGTTGAGATTATAGGCATGAGCCACCATGCCCAGCCTCCCTGTTTTCAATTCCCCCAGTTCCACCATTATGAGCTAAAGAACTTTGACTGCCTGGGGTAAAACGAGGACAATGGTGTCTACTACATAGGATGGTCATGAAGACAGAACGCGCTAAAGCTATAAAGCATGTAGCATACAGTAGGTGCTAAATTAATGTTCTTTTCTCCTACCTCCTCCACTAAAACCCAGTGAGTTAGTGACTTAGTGCTTAACTAGTAGAACTTCCAGCAACAGCCACCTTCTCTGCTTCACAGAGACATTACAAATGTCTCAGCATTTAGACACTTACTGGCTTAAACAAAAAGCACCTCAGAGGAATTGAAGCCCAGCGGCCGGCCAAGCCCAGTGGGAGTAGAAAAACCAAGTTAGCAAGCATTCCTTCTGAGGCCGCCTCTCCCTGTTGCTAGCAAAGAGTTATAGAAAGCCCCGCAAGGAGCATTCCAGTCTCCTTCCAAGCTGGGCCTCGGTTTCTTTAGGAAATGAGGAGTCTGGCTCAGCTCCAGGGTGTTTAAACTGGGGTCCAGAGAACCCTAAATGTTCTCCTCAAAGTCCGAGCCTAGGGAAGGAGAAGGGAGGAAAAAGGGAAGTCCAGCCCCTAGTCTGGTCAACCACAGATCTTTTTTATCTGTTTGCATGCTGCGAATCTGTAGATAAAACTGCGTGCGGGGCCCAGAACTGGGCAGCCCCTGAGATTTCCACAGGCACCCCTCCTAGGTGAGCCTCCGCTTCTCATTATTTTACATGGCTGTTATAAGGACTTTGCAAAACATGGAAT